TACCCACCCCCCCACCCCTGTTACCGGCGGGCGGGGCTGCCACCCATTGTCCCTTGCTCAGGGTTCTTTCCTCCGTTCCTCGCCCCCCCCACAAGTAGTGCCTCATTTCAGTTGGCCCAGGGAACCTTTTCTTTCTGTGCCCATACAATATAAAAAAAACAATTCTAGGGGCACCGCAATGTAACCTGCCCTGCGAGGGTCGGCCAATCTCCTGGCACCGGGAAACCGTGGAACTTTCCCTCTAGGGGCCCTTCGGATTAAAACCCGATGTGCCAGGCAATCCCCCGCCAGGGCACTACTAAGTGGGTGCGCTGCGTGCGGGTGGCGTGTTTAGTGCAGGGGCCGGGAGGGAATTGCGGCGCTTGCTGAGTTGCTCTGCGGTCGTGGCACAACATACCCATAGCCCACAGGACACAGAATCAAACAATTCATTCAACTTAGAGCGTCAACGAATCCCAAGCAGTACGTTAAATTGACAAAACGTGAGAAAACATATTTTTATTCATATTCCTTTACAATTTTGCGTGACAATGAAACGGTAGGCTATGAGCGGAGGTCGCTTCGGCATAGTTATACTTTCAGTAAAACAGCTTCAGTCAAAACCAAAGCCACAGAGTGATCACTGACGAGTTTATGCAGGAGACTCAAACGTTCGATGCAGTGTAACATCAATCACTGACACTCGCCTGGAGGAGAGCGAGCGTGTCTCCATACAGCCTCACCCTACGGTTACAATCAACAACGAAAAACGATTCGCTAAATAAACCGAACACGGCAATAGCACCACCTGCTGTTCGTGGCGACTCATGGAGGGAAGCTGGTGCTGTTAAAGGGTTGGAATGATGAAGCGCTTCACGTGCACGATGGGTGTCTTCTTCGCAGGCAATAAAAGTCGAAAGGGGGCGCCGGATTGTCATAAACGCAGGATAATAATAATTTACATGTACAGTATTTACAAGGCGCCTTCGACTAATGTCTCAAGGCTGCCATATTCAAGTCCAGGCTCAAGACATTCCTTCTCCCCCCCCCTCGATGTCCATGACTGACAGTCTCTATTTTAAATACATATTCACGGTTTTTTGTACATTCCCAAGACGCGCTCATAGCTAGATGCTATAAGGGGCCGTCCACAAATGACGGCACGCGATTTTGGACGATTTTTTGACCTCCCCTCCCCCCATCGTCACACGGCGTCACAAAAAGTCAGACACCCCCCCTCAAATATGACGTCACAAAGCTCTGCCCCCCTCCCCCCCCCAATAAACATGCTTCAAATCGCTTTAAACTATTGTCATTGTAGTGCGTATTTAATGTGGCGCTGCACTCTGATGTTGTAGGAGAAAACATTTATTAAAAAGTCTATTTAATTAAGTAGAACGTGTTGTCTATATTTATTTAAAGTTGCGCATTTTGATGTGACGTCACATTTCTCAACCCCCCCCCGCCCCTCGTCACACATCGTCACAAATGTCTGACCACCCCCCCTCCCTAGGTGCGTGACGTCATTATGGACACCCCCTAACACGATGTAAGACAATTTTTGTTTCTGGGTACTAAGTATAATTTTTGTATTGCTTATGCCTAAAAACTATAGAAAGTGGCTATTATTATTCTCCACAAACTTTGCTCTTGTGACCAGGACTTTATGTCAACGAAAGACACAAATGCACACCACGTATTCTCATTGCAAATAGGCACATTTCTAAATATCAATGTCCTGGTCACAAAAGCAAAGTTTGTGGGGAATAATAGACATTTGCTGTACTTTTGAGGCATAAACAATTAGGAAATAACACTTACTACCCAGGAACAATTGTATTTTGTTACACAGTGTCATCAATTTATCCGATTGTATTTGTTACGAGGAGACTCGGGAGGAGAAGTCAACACCAATCCAAAGCTCTGCTGACTCAACACATGTTGCTCGAAAATCGCTTATTATTGCATATTCTTGTATGACATGTTTCTAGGTGTTGTTAGATGATTTTGTAAAGTGTTTTGCATTTTTTTACGATCTGAAATTTGGATAAACAAATAGACAAAACAATATCCTACTTTAAAAAGTTACTGTATTTACCGTACTTACCACTCCAAGCTGGAATACTCTGCATAGGGTGATGTATATATACGTGCAGTACTGTCATTGTTGAAGTTGGTGTATGTAGTGTATAAGGGGCCGTCCATAAATGACGTCACGCACCTATTTGGGGGGGGGGTCAGACATTTGTGACGATGTGTGACGAGGGAGGGAGGGTTTGAGACGTGTGACGTCACATCAAAATGCGCAACTTTAAATAAATATAGACAACACGTTCTACTTAATTAAATAGACTTTTTAATAAATGTTTTCTCCTACAACATTAGTGCAGCGACACATTAAGTACGCACTACAATGACAATAGTTTAAAGCGATTTGAAACACGTGGTTTTTTTTGGGGGGGGGGGGCAGAGCTTTGTGACGTCATATTTGAGGGGGGGTTTGACTTTTTGTGACGCCGTGTGATGAGGAGAGGGGGGGGTCTAAAAACGTCAAAAATCGCGTGACGTCATTTATGGACGCCCCCTAATATACTGTATATAATATTTAACACTGAAATCGAGCATAGCTGCTATTTTTTTGTCACGCACGTGGTGCCGATCACCGGACTGGTTGCAGCCTTTGGAGCGGTTTTGCCGGTTTTGCCAGATCGGCCCGGTTCCACCGGACAATGTTGGAAGCAGCCGGATAATCTCACGCCGGATAATTATCGATCATCAACTGTACACTTTATCGCAATTTATCACCATCAGTTTGTAGGCTAGGTGGATAAGTGTTTCATAGCAACGTTTGTTGAGTCAGCAGAGCTCTGGTTTGGTGTTGACTTCTCCCGAGTCTCCTCGTTACAAATACAATCGGATAGATTTATTATAGCACTAGCTGTGAACGCGTCTTGAGAATGTACACAAGGCTGTGAATGTCGATTTAAAATAGAGACTGTCAGTCATGGACAGAGGAGAAAACTTTCAATATTGAGCCTGGACTTGCATTTGGGCAGGGAGTCGGCAGCACTGACGTCTGGCGATCTCCCACTTAGCGAAGGTTACCTGGGGGCTTCGACAGCAAAGTCAGATTGCTGGAGCAGAGAGTGAAAGGAGCGGGGAGTAGAGCGAGATAACAGGATAAGTATCCAGGGACGAGTCCAAGGAGGATCTTGATGATGGCGAGTGCGACATTGAGATGGGATTTGGAGCCAGTGGAGCGATTTTAGTACGTAAATATTGGGTCGACGTGGTCTCAACTTAGGCTTTGGGCGAGAGGTCTGAAAGGGGCATTTTGGACCACCTGGAGTGTGGAGTTGAGGGATTTGTTGAGCGTGTAGAGTTGCAATAGTCACGTCGGGATGTGACGAAGGTGTTGATGCTGCTGGGTTAGGGTATGCTGGGAGGTTAATTGACGTTATAAGCCCCACAAGATGGGTATGGCGCGGCTAATTGATCTCGAGAACAATGACTGATGTCTTCTCACAAAGTAGTAATTGTTTTTGACCCAGTGATTTGAACTCGTGACCTTCCGGGAATCTGAGTCAAGCGCACTAACCACTGTGCCAGTTTTAAGCCATCTTTTACTGCTCGATTCGAATAATCTCGAGAAGTTGAATCGACCGAAACCTTAACGTAGAATAGGCACCTTGCAAATATATTCCTTCCCCAAGTTTCCCTGCGTGCGGATAAACGAAAATGAGCAGCCGATGCCATGAGAGTGCAACGTGACTCGGCTTCCACAGGTATTGTATTTGTAATGTCTTCACACATTCTAAATATGGTTTGTGTGTTGGTCATAGCAGTAGCGGGAGGGGGTTGGTGAAGGGAGCACATTTTATGTCGCTTCTCGCCGAGGACTTAGGATGGGTGCCCCTATCCAGTACTGTTGCTCCTCAGGTCGACAAGACACTCAAGCGTCTTCGTCACGGCAAGTCGGTGAGGAATTACCAGGGTGGTCGGACATTGTCAGTAAAGCAAAAATGCTCGCGCCAGAATAATTCACGGCGACAGTATATTTTTCAAAAGTCGAATTGGAGAAACAAAGTTACATATATGTATATATGAGAATGGCGAATGCTGTCCATTAATCATTTGAACTTTGAGGATGACAGCCATTGGCAGCATCTGACGAAAATGAACTGCATCAAATATAACTTAATAGAGCTGCAAAGCTGGGCTCAGGATAAATGTGAATAAAACAAAGGTAATGCACAAATTCCCTTGATAATTGGAGATATCGGTCAGAGAGACACGACTGGAAAGGACACCAGGGTGTGGACCTAAGTTACATTGCGACAGCAAAAGGAACACGGATTCCAACATATATGTAGGTTAATCATAAAAACTGTTATGAACAGCAAGCTTGGGTAGAAGAGATGGACGAGGAAGAATAATGCAATTCAACCAAGGGGAGATGGAGTGATGAAATAAATTTGCAGGTATGACAGATTTACACGGCAAAGAATAAATTTAATTAAAACTAAACCATTTGCTTTTGCCACGGATCCAGTTTGAATGGAATTGACACTTGCACTCCATGGATGCCTGCTCATACTTCAGTGCTCCAACTATTCCATGTTAGCACATTATGGTATGGAGTACAGGAAATGGATTGGTAACTATCTCCTCGGCTGGTAACCCATTTTTGCCGACTAGTTATCTTACGGATTTTTTCAGGGTGTGTAAGTTTCCTATCACATGAAATAAACACTCGAAATGGTCCTAACAGAATACTGCCGAGTTGTGATATTCAGCGATACTTAGCTGGATGATCTCTTTATCTGAATGCCCAGCAATGCAGAGTAATATCGTTGGTCCACCTGACATTCTTTTGAAAACGATATTATAATCTGCTTTTTAACAAGAACTATTATCACTGCGAGTACAGATTTACCAAGGTGAGAAATGTAACGGTTCAACTTCTTATTCATGCATCCTGCGTAACCTAGTTTAAAGGTAATCAATCAACACAAAACTGCTCAGATGTAAATTCTTTATTCCCCCCCCCCCCCCAAATAAACTGGTAAACGAAATTGTTAAAACACTGTACAAGAATTCTAGGCAATAATACAGTGAATTAGACAAATGAGATGAGAAGACAGCTTCCTCTGGCTGCCCATGTAAATGTGTGCTCAAAACTAACCACCAGCATCTGGCTACAGGTTGACAATTTTGGTTGGAATCTTGTCAGGTAGCCCAGTTACAGAAGGCTCGACTCTGAACCGGAAACGTTGAGTTTAAATCCTGCTCAAGGGTCAACGTAACGTGCCATCCCTCCTTGGTTAATCAAAACGGTACAGTCCCACTTTGTGAATCAACAGTGGTTGCCCTATAGAGACTATCTTCCACCATGAGAATGTCAAATTTCTATCATTAACTCAGGGGTCAGCAACAGACACAAGCAGCGTCCCACGCTCTTTCCAGCACACAATTTGACTTGACCGTCATCCGATATGCAACAATACCCCTTATTACATCTTGACACAAACAAAAACCACACGTAATTATATTTTGCACATTTGTGTTAATTCCATCATACGATTACTATAAAGCACAAGCATAGTTATTTGCACAAATCTCATCAAGTGCAATTCCTGTTGCAGAGATGGTCTTAAACAACATTCAAAACGGCACTCTAGCACACAAGACTTTGCAAAGTGTTAACACGCTCCGTTTAACCAACTTGGTCAACTGTTTGGGAAACATTTAAAATGTCCTTTGGACATTTGACAGCACGAGCAGCCTCCGACTCAAGTGTTTGTCACTACACCAAGCTGTGAAGTTCATTGACTGGACATGCTGAAGAAATGCTCCAGAATATTCACTCTCAATCCACAAAACTAATCACGAAGAAAAAGCATTACAAACACAGTATGTTCATGAACAAACAAAAAAGGAATCTAAAATCCAACGCGGTGTTAAATATTGTGTATAATATGAAAAAGAGCTTCATAGCTCATTGGATTCTTCCAGTCTAAATAAAGATTCTAAATAAAGATTCTGATATGAACTAGCAGGCAAGTCACATGCCTGCTTGGGCTGAAGGTGAGTGAGAGCCCACAAACCTGAAAAGGCAAAGTGTGCATTTTACAAAAGACCACTTTCCAGTAAAGGCAAATTACCTTCTTCCCACAAATACAAAACAGTGAACACTTCTTGTGACCATTTTCAACAGGCGATTTTTCCCATTTCTTTTTACACAAGAAACATCACAAGAGCACCTACGCAGCACAACGCACTGTAGATGGGTGGGCTGCTTCCTGTGGTCAGAATGACATCAATATCCATGCATCAAGATGTTCCCTTGACGGGGCTACATGATTCACTCACAAGCGATATGAAGCAACTTGGAAGCGATTTCTCATTGTGAAGGCATTACTGTAATGATATTTTTCTCGTTACGAATTTTGCCGGGTGTGCTGAGCAACCGAAACATTGCACAACTTCCTCAAAGCCACTTGAATTGCTTTAAAAAAATCTCAAGCTTAACCCACCAATCTCAGTTGTGGGGATCTTTTGATTATTGGCGAGACAAGGCCTTCTGGATTGGAACACTTTCACAATCCCACATATCACCTCGACACCTACATGAGGCTATCAATGCAATTTGCTGCCAATGAGGCCACTGCAGGAATGTGCTACCTGTTCCTCTCCTCAATAGACAACCATAAGCTCTTAGATAGTCACATGAACACACCATAATTAACCTGCTATACATAAACATTGGCGCATTCAAAAGTCACATTTTTGTTTATGCATTTTGCTGCAGCGTGTATTGACAATTTGTTTTCCAGTTTGTGTTCCTTACGTGATATGAAAAAAAAATCGCATATTCACAATAAACAAATGTAACTTGAATGGCATGAGGGACTCAGCCATGCCAGGACGTGGGTTCATGTGCAATCGTGTCAGCGTCTCACGGAGTGCTTCGGCAGACATTATAGAGCAGAGATAAATTGCAGATGATATTTACGTGGCTTGCCAAGAAGGGTCGGTGAAATTCCCAGCCAGGATAGTTAACTCCAATGGAATGTATGCATTGCTAGGCGAGGTGGATTTAAAGTAATTATCATTAGGGTATGAATGATAAACATTGAGAGAATGGTTGAAGAGGCTGGGATATGGTGAAATGGCCCATGGTTATGGTTCATAGAAAAATGCAACACAATAAAACCAACGAGTTGAATAGCTCTTATGTCATACACTTGTACCTTCACTGCATGTCCTGGGCTGACCGAGACGAATTTGAAACTTTGTTAATGCCAAAAAGATTTAAAAATGACTTTCAAGTGTGCCACTATAGGGCTTTGGTGATGTCACTGCAGCGACACTGTATTATAGAGTACAGCAGTCATACCACGGTGATATCACTAGACTGCTAAGGGAGCTCTGAAAGTCACTTTAAAACATGCATCAAACTAATTTCAGAAGCCTAGCACACACACACCCAAAGTAGGTATCTACAAGATAAGAGCTACGTGTTTCTAGTTGGAATCGTCCTTTTGAAGGTCGGGCCGACAGCGATGCAGATTCTCACAGCAAGCAGCACCGCTCTCGCAGTCTCTGCAGCAGGCTCTTGTTCGGCTTCACTTTTCCGCTTTTGTCCTTCCCCTCGTCCATCTTCCTCTTCCGGACGTCCCGCATGAGATCAAAAAACACCTATGTAGGAAAAAAACACCCCCACAAAGTTGAGCAAAATAATTATATAAAGTAATGTGCATGAAGAAATGGCAAAAAATAGTGTATGCAGGTCACTGCAGGCGAGGTATGACTCGCCAGAGTTGTACTGTATATTATTTGCGACAGTAAACTGGAGTACCACAAATTAATACTTTAAAAGACCCACAAGATGAGTCAGCAACCCCACTTCCTGCACAGCCACCCTGAAATGCCAGCACATAATCCTGAATGTTGAATCTTTCTCACACAATGATCTCAAATTATCCACCATCACACTCACTTGTACATTCATGAATGCCCTCGTGCAATGGTCTGTGGTGCTCATGTCTCCGCCAAAGGCAGCGAGCGATTTAACAACCAAACACGGATAGTTACTGGTTTGCGTGCTTCACCTTGTCGACGTTGGCACGGGTTTTAGCCGAGGTCTCGACGTAGCTGACCCGCCACTGCTCAGCGCGTGCCCGCGCCTCCTCGGACGACACCTGCCGTCGCTCCTCCAGGTCCGACTTGTTCCCCACGAGCAGGAACGGCACACTGTCGTCCTCCTTGACGCGCAAGATCTGCTCCCTGTGGCCGTGATTCAGGTGTGGTCTCTTGTACAGGGTCTTTCACATGCAGTTGTGTTTATACGCATTAAAATGTCTAGTGGCTACATGACATGGGTCGCAGGAACGGCACACTGTCGTCCTCCTTGACGCGCAATATCTGCTCCCTGTGGTTCAGGTGTCGTCTCTTGTACAGGGTCTTTCACATGCAGTTATGTTTATACGCATTAAAATGCCTAGTGAATACATGACATGGGTCGCCTTTATGATGTGGACCAGTTTACTATAGAATGCCCTGATGATGGATCCATATCTTAAGTGTTAATTAAATTAAGCTCTGAAGGTAGACCAACTGGTTCCTACTTTACTCTGCTTAATGGAATCCCAAGTAAAGCAGCCTGGTTTATTGATACTACTTTGCTCACTCGTTCACTCAAGTCACGCTCACACTATCGTTCAAATGCTTATGTATCCCTGGTGACTATACTTACAAACTTCATGCCCTAATGCATCTGCCAACGTCAAGGACTTGTTCTACCAGTCCGAAAGCTGCCTTATAGCAATACTGTGTTCATATACTGTGCTGCGAGAGAATCACCCTTTTCTCGTTCCCATCGTATTGCTCCACTTTGGAACTCCCTCCTGTCATCTTTTCCCAAATTTCCTGTAACCTTTTTATCACTAGCTGCTTTGTGTTTATAAGCCTTCAGGCCCACAATCATCACATACATCCAAGTAACTTTCACGCTTGCATCACTAAAGGGCCAACTTCTACACACGTCCGCTAGGCTAAAATTGCAAGCCAGCCGGTTGGCGTGAGGTAGTGAGGTAGTCGTGTGAGGGAGTCGGTTGAGGTAGTTGGGTAAGGGGGGGGGGGTGGAAGTGGGGAATACACACCTGAACTCAAGGGTAGCGGCGAACGACTCGTGCTCACAGATCGAGAAGACGCACAAAAAGCCCTCGCCGCTGCGGAAGTAGTTGTCTCGGATGGCGGCGTAGTCCTCCTGCCCGGCCGTGTCCAGGATGTCGATCTGCACCTCCTCTCCATCGAGCACCACCTTCTTGCGGTAGCTGTCAGCCTTGGTGGGCTCGTAATCCTCCACAAACTTCAAGCCGGGGAGCAAGTGAGACAGAGACAGAGTTGCGAGTTTTGCCCAAATTATCGCATTTCGGCAGATACATTAATGGAATTGGCCAAACATCGCAATTACAAGAACCTGCTGAAAAACAGTCTTAAGAGTCGGTAAGCATTAGAGGATAACTGAAGAGCACTGTTAGTCACACCTCATGTGTGTACAAAAATCTGACAGCCTGTGCCACTTTGTAGAGCAGCACAGCATGACCACAAAGTAATAAAATAAATGAAAGAAATGAAAAGGCTCAACAGTCGTAATGTTCCCAAGGAGAAGTAAAAATCCCTGACATAAGGAAGACTGATGATACTAAAGTAATTAGGCATGCTGGAATAAATACATCCATTAAGCAGGTGAGCACTTTGGCTATATAGAGCAGCTTTCTTCAATGTTAGACTTTTAACATTAAAAAAATAATTTCATTTCTTTTTTACCTCAACTAGTACAGTATGTCCAAAAGGTAATGGCGTAAAATGATCGCTCTCGAAAATATATTTGGTGAGACTGCAAGAAAACAAAACCTGCACATGTAAAGAACTTTAAATCTAAAAACTACACTGCTATGTTGACTTGAAGCTTTCGTGACTGCAGGAATCCATACTCTTTGGTTCTTTCGGTAAAGTCATGTGACTTTACTGAACAAACCAAAGAGTATACACTGCTATGTTTTAACGCTTGAAATTATTTCAATATTCAGTCCAAAATACGATTATATTGTCATGTCAAGAAAACATACATTTAAAGAATGGGACAATTTTTTTTTTACAGAAATGCATTTCCGAAAAGTGAGGCAAACCAATGACTACGGTGGCTGTGATGTGGATCCGCTGCAAAAGCGAATTGTAAATCGGACCAACACCACCAAAGGCCTCACCTCGTCATACATGAACTGCAGGGTGAGCGCCGACTTGCCGACGCCGCCGCTCCCCACCATGATCACCTTGTGCAGGGCCGCATTCTGCCCCTTGGCTTTGTTTGCCGCCATTTGTTTTGTGCGAATGAGATGCCTGTGAATTGTTGATAATCAAAAACAAGGAACAAATATTATTACTTAACTTTATAACGCAAAGCTGACAAGGAGTTGAGCCTGCAATAATAGTGCGCGAAGGAGGATGGTCCGAGCCTTGTAGCGACGCGTGTAATCACCAGTAGCAGAACCCGGACGAGCGACCAATGTGGTTTACGGTGCAGTCGGTAGAAAATAGTGTCCCTCGCGCGTCAGGAAATCCCTGCCTGCCTCTGGAGCTGCCCGGAAACCAGGCGCTAGCGTTGTGCTTACAGAGGTCTCTTCAACCCACTTCCAGCCCTATTGTTTTATTTTGCACTCGACTTCCTGTGCTGTTGGGAGAAACGATTTGAGAGCTGCAGAATGGGAGGGAGGATGGACTTGGGAAGGCGTGAGCGATCACGAGTGCTTAAAAACTCCCATTCATTTATGCTCGATATATCTTAGGCAGCATTTCACCTTAGTGTGAATCTGTTGCTTTAGTTTCAAGCTCAGTAACAGTCAGCACACTGTGTATTACAAGAAAGCACCACACTTAAAGTATACAATGATAGTCAGCTGTAGTCCATGCCAGTTGAAGACATTACCTTAAAAGATGAGGAAATAATTGATAACAAGTGTGTGCCGAGTAAGAAACTTAAAGTAGAGAAAATATTTCAAACAACAAAAAACAGACCTCCTCTTGCACGCTGAACCAAAACGCTGCGGCATTTGACTGCGGTTGCACTGAACAGCGGACAGGTTGGGTTGTGTGCTTTTGTAGACCTGTACTCAACGTGACGTGTGCTGTTTGTGGGAAGGAACTTTTCCAGCACCGCGAAACAATTTTACTTTCTGAAATTTTTTTCCGAGAAGCAAACATCCGCTTAAAAAATATATTTTCGACAAAGATGTGTTTTTTTTCTTCAACTCACGCAACCTGTAGTCAGGCATGCGAAACAGCACTGTGACCTCTCAGACTTTTCCGCCCATTTTACATTTGACCATAACTCAATCCCTTCAGGACAGCTCCACTTTTGCCTTTCCTTCCTGAATCCATTATTTAGTTAAGACTCGGTTAATTATGTTGAAATGAACATATCTGAAAATTGTAGATAATAACACTCTATTGTATATATCCTCGTTTTCATTTACGTGGCCCCCCATACCACCTTTCACACCCAAGAATCAGATTTTCCATCATGAAAACGTTAAACCTTGGCACGAGTGTCGAATCCTGGTTCAAATGCAATGTGTCGCCATGAATACAAATGGCTGGATATCTAAACCCCCCCCTCCCAGATACATCTTTGAATATCACCAGGGAGTAGATTACTGTGGAATGGCGTTGAGACTACAATAGTAATGCTTTATAAATTTATTCTGTTAATACATTTTCAGCATTCCGTCGTCGATAAATTATCATTAAATGTACCAGACATGTGGCCTCTCTGACTAAATAGAGAGGTGCGCAGGCCACGGTGTGTATGTGCTCACATAAACTCACCTCTTTAAACTGAAGATAATTGATAGTGAATTATGCTTTTTGCAGAGGCTTGTTTGGATTTTATATGCACTTTGCATGTGTGTGCGTCTGTACCCTATAGAATAAGCAAAGTTGCTTATATTTTTTATACAGCACCACATCATCTGATGTGTGTAAGACAAATCCTGGCAGTCTTTTGTTTACCTGAGAGCTTTTAAATAAATCTCTCAATCCCAGGTCTCCTGTCCAAATCAGATGTAGCATTGCAATGTTGTTGCATAGTTTGGTGGAAATTATTTATCAGGTGTTTTGTGGAAGGTAGCAAATGTATTATAAACTTGCGTAAAAGAGTACAACTTATGTTTTAGTAAACTTTGCAATGTTAAATATGTATTGTTCAAACTCTTATTTTATACCTATGTGACTTTAACGAAAGAACCAAAGAGTATGGATTCCTGCAGTCACGAAAGCTTCAAATATAGATTGTATCGTTCAAGTTTACTATAAAATTATCATTTGCAAATAAGGTTTAATGGCTAGCAATTACAATCAGGTCTGAAAAGACTGCTGATATTATAGAGCCATTGATACAACTATATTCCATTGGCCTCAATAGACAATGAAAACCAAGCAGGCATACGTTTATAGTATAAATGTTGCAGATCATCATGTTTACCTTCACATTAGAGAGCTCTCTGCCTTCACGCAATGGCTCACCTAATCTATGCAAACTGGGGCTCAAATTCAGGGAGTTAGGGCCTAGCCGTAGGTTGAAATTTAACCAGAGAATCATGGAGGAAACTTTACACGTGACTGCCATAAACTGGTGAGCATCAGATGTGCATGATGTGCTATGAATGGCAGCAAACGCTGTCGACTAGACAGTGGTTCCTAACCTTTCTGGACCTGTGCATCACACCAATCCTCAAAAACCTTTGAGGACCACCAAGCATCAGACACATTTTTCTAAATTAAAATGACCAAAAAAGCACAGTAAAATAGTAAATATCCATGGAAATGATTAACTTACTCTTTATTCACTAATCCCAATAGTTGTGCAATGAGCAGAACAAATGGTGTTTGTAAAAAAAAATCGTAGTGTATGCAACAGTTCCAGCTACGACTTTTCACGGCCTTGCAGACCACCGGTGCTTCGTGAAACACTCACTGATTGGGAAGCCATGCACCTCTTATTAGCACGGTTGGCTACGTACGGTGTGAAAGAATTTCAACATACATACATACATGCACTACGCGCCAACAATTTTCACCCCCCGCCTCCCCAGCAGCATGCACATTTTTTTTACATTTCGTTTTTACCATTTCATTTGTAAGGGTAATAATTATCATTTACTTTTTTTGGCAAAGTTACATTTAGCCTCCAGATATTTTTCAAAAGGACCATACAATGGGAGAGTGTGTTTGCTAAATTCTATAAAGAAAAAATCAGAGTAACAAGCAAAAATCATTTACTGCATTGCTATCTTTTACCCACCTCATAGCTCAGCTGGTCTGGTAGTCTCAAAAATATCTATGATCCACCAACTCTTGCCTATAAAGTGCTGGATTACGGGTGTGCTCTACTATAAATTTGCCTCCATCTAACTTAAATGTGGACTAAGTTAACTGATGGCTGAAAGAAAATGTTTCTGCTGTCATTATTGAAAGGGGCTCATTAGTCAGTGATCACAAACCTGGCGAAAAGAAAATTACTTGTAATGTTGTCTTCGAGCCAGCACCATTTGGGTGTTAAGCCCTGAGGCTACATGACATCACCATGAATCACACTGCGGAATTCCCCACCCCCATGTGAGGTCATTGTGTTGACATGTGCTCCTGAGCAACCAACGCTTCCGTTGCTTGTTTCAGTTCTCACTCCACCCTGTTCTACTTCTTCCGCACATTCGGACTAAGTCTCTAATTGTGAGCAGATAACAAGTGTTTTTTTTAGGACTACGTACCTAAGCAGTGTTTTGGAGCATTTTGATAGCAGCCTTGTTGACATTGGTATTTGTCAAGGTAGGGTTATAAAGGTCAACCTGCGGTTATCACACTTAGGAGAAATAACACGTGTAAATAATGTAAAAACATTTTTAACAGCTTTCAAAATGTATACATAGCCTTCATGGTAAGGTGGGAACATTCTTCCCACTAGCTACACAGGACTGTTCTCTCATATTGCCATTCTTAAAAGCAAACAGGCAATCCATGTGCACACAAACATTGGTCACTGCAAATAACAATAGCAGCATAATTTACACCTGAAAAGGTGCTTGTAATTTCCCTTGAGGTCAGAAAAAAACATCAAGAGACTTAGAACATAAAAACCCCTGCCTGCAATCACACATTTAGTCACAGCAGAAAACCTTGCTGTCGTGTTATTTCCAATACGTTTCAGTTTCTCTCGATATCAGCTTTGTGACCGAAGGCAGACTGGAGAAATTACCATCTCAAATGCCCCGCTATCAGCTTCCAACCACAACATGTCCACAAACGAGGAAAGGATTGGACCTTTCAGACATTTTAAAAGTCAAAATCCAATTTCTCTTTTGCATCTATATTCAACTGCCCGCCACAGAAAACACATCAGTGAAGCGATCCTGGGTGCCCTCCTTGCCAGCCGTCACTCCATCAACCCACACTGACCAGCGTGGTGACGTATAGTCAACTTCATACATGTCCACCCCAAAGGATTCAAATAACTGAGGCCCACGCCATCCTCAAAACCCTTGTGGGGAAAATCCCCCAATAAAGTGAGGCAGAAACCCCCGAAAACCGAGAGAAACACACGAAACTGAGGGAACCCCAAAAAACTGACGCACAGAAACATTTAACTGTCATGCAGGCAAGAGCGAGCACACTGGGAAATACAGGGGGTGGGGGGGGTTACTAAAAAAGTTTGCGTAGCAGCAATACGCGAATGTAAACCATTTCGTGAACACCGCCTCATTAAATGGAACAATAATAATCTTGGACAGGCGTTACGAGTTTCCCCGACTTTTCTCTGTAAGTAAAGACGCAACTTTTGGGAGCTGACCTTCACATAAGACCCGAATCATCGGCCAGCAGCCGGTGCGACTGCAATAAACAGGGCTTTGTTGATTACTTTCAGGTAAACAAACGAATTTGAAGATCCAAGGGACGGCCGCGAGACAGTCAAAATTGTGAAAAACCCCGGGTCTCAAGGGTAATCCTTGACACGTGTTCAATCCCCATAATCGACACGGCGTGATGACGCCTAGCAGTGGATTGATGAAGGGCCGTACACACTGTACACGTCGTCTTTTGCCTTTCCCCCGCTCTGTGCCAGGAATGTGGAGTGCAGAAAAGTGTGGCGTCGTCTTTCTGTGCGTGTGAGTGTGTGTGCAGTTCGGAGGCTGGGAGGCAAGCCAGGTGTACAGCAGGTCCGGGCACGCCAAGCTCCGAGCGACCATAGGCGCAGCTACCACCAACCACCGCCACTACCAAAGGGACCACCACTACCAAAGGGACCACCACTACCAAAGGGACCACCACTACCAAAGGGACCACCACTACCAAAGGGACCACCACTACCAAAGGGACCACCACTACCAAAGGGACCACCACTACCAAAGGGACCACCACCCCCGCCTACACAGAGCGACCGTCTCGCAGTGGAATTCCCACCCGTGGCTAAGGCAAAGCAACAACGACAGACTTGCGTATCGCAGGTGTTTTCAACAGTGCATCACAAGCCTGCGTCTGTCTCCCTGCTCAAACGAGCACGTAGCGGACACGACAACGCGTTCTATATTGGCGACCCTGAGCCAGTCAGTGGTGGACATTCCGCAGTCATCCATAGGTCAACTACTGCCGATTTTTCCCAAAAAGTGCCACATATACCGGACTGTATTCGACTCTAAATGGATATTGCATTGCGCAGACTCGTGCTGTTGTATTAATTGATTCATTCATTTGCTATTCTTTAATATTATTCCAAGCTGATCGTCCCCATTATTCCATGAGGGAGGTACTTCAAAATATATTTCTCTACACACGTCAATTCTGTCTCTGCTTCAGTCAAATCAACTATCCTCAATATCTCGTTCCACCGCATGCTTCAATCTGACCCTTGGTCTCTGTAAACTCCATTATCGTTCTAATTTCATTTCGATTATCTCTTCACAGCACATGCCTAAATAATCTTAAGCCTAACGTGCCTCATCGTCTCCAGAATATATAAGTAATCCCCTTTTTAAAGCTCCAATGTATTTTTGTCTGCCTCATGTGCTATTCATGAATAATAAAACCTGTTGGTTTAATGGCATATTCTCGAGTAAATGTATCATTGCAGCATGCAAGGAAATCACTCGTGAAAAATAAAGTATAAATGGAAGTGCAATCAAACAAGGTCTTCTCATGCATCACTTACAACGTACTTCGTTGCAAGCGTGTGAATCTTGGGCCTGCTGCATAGAGTTTTGTCCAGACACAGAGATCCATGGGATCAAACTTCTACGGGGAAATATGTAACTCAACAAACGAGGAGGATAAGATCAAAACACCAAATATAGTTGGAAGTTTCAAGTTGAATTTTTTTAAACCAGCTGAGGCATCACGAGACCGGGATGAGTCTCGTTTATGCAATGCGCCCAATACAATCACAACTTCAAAAGCTAAGCAGCGTTGAGTCATGATCGTGCTTTAATAGGTGACCACTAACCACACAAAAAAACCCAAGAATTGCAGACGTGGGCAGTAGAGAGGGAAGTGCAGAAATCAATTGTTCTGCACTTGCCTCACCTTCAACCCAAACTGACCAGCGCGTTGAAGTGTGGTAAAATAACTCTCATCCAGCAGTGGAGTAACACACGGGCTGTACACTGCACGGGCAGCCCTGGTTGTGAAGAGGCAGCGAAGTCCGTCAATCATTACACACAGACACACACACGCCCGTACACGCGCAAACATCCCTGCATTTAAAACACAGACACATTACTGTACATTACATGAATGTGCACACACAACACGTGTACACACTGGCCTGTGTTCTGCACACATGTCCTATGCAGTATATTACTTCATTGCTGTATTAACATGTCGTTGTTTTGCTGTTGTCATTCAGACCCAAGTCACTCCTGCAAATGAGATTCATCCTGCTCTCTAGGGTTATCACCTGGTTAAATAAAATAAACTTGGAATTTCACATACACAAAATTACATGACATTATGGGCATAAATATGGACTTAAATACTCGATACGCATATCGCAAATATGTTCAGCGAGAGCTGTTTGCGAGTATCTATTGTTGTATTTGCATTTGACACGTGGCGAGAACCACCGACACAATCGTACACGTGACAGTGTACATGACACACTGCTGTGTATGCATAACATATGTAAAGCGTAAAATACACAAACACACTTCTGTACACACGTACACAATACACTACTTTCAGAGGCACACAAAATACACACACATATGTAGTACTCAATACAGTACATATACACAAGTATACATTCAGTACTCTCCTCTAAAAGTACGCAGTACACATACTCTGCAAACCCACTAATACTGTATACAGTATACACTCTCCAACACACACACACAAAACACTGACACCGTTACACATTTAAATATGTACAGAATTCATACAAGCTACAAACACTATACGGTACAGTATGAACGTTAAACACTATCCACTTACACGTTCACACAGCCTATTCGTGCACACATCCCACACACAAGGAGACACTTGACCATTTTGGTGACCAATGCCACTCTCGCAAATGAGACTATCCTGGGTCTATTGAGATCTCACCCGGTTTATAAAACAGTCGCTATTCGCCACTAAGTGGCGGTGACGTCCCCACGGCTCTCGTGCCAGGCTAGGTGCACCTCGAGGCCGTCACGTGAAGTGTGGCAGGCTTTCGCTTCGTGCAGGTCACGGGACAAGACACCCCCCACGCGTTATGGGATTGCCGCCCGAGATGACCGGCGGATAACGCATTGTAATACACACGCACTTCAACGTACACAACTATCCATGTACACACACACTCACACACGAGTAGACACCCCGTATCAATGCACCATGTAAACTCACGCACACACACGACACGGCACACATGCCACTCCCTACCGCGCCCCCCACCCGCCACTCGCCCCACCGTCTCGCCGCGTTTCTTCTCGCCGCCGAAGGAGACAGGCGGAGTGGATGGAGGAGGGGGGGCGGATAAGAACGAGTAGGCGGGCTGTACCGACACGGGCTACGGGTTCGCTCTCCGTCAACAGCAACACGCGGCGCTTACCGTCTCCTCGTCCTCCTCCAGCAGCAGTAGCAGCGGCGGCGGTGGGGGCTCGGCTCCTCGACGTGACGGGGCTTCAGCGGGCGCAGCGCTTCAACATCGCGGGCGAAAGCGGCGAGACTCGACGCGGCGCAACCACCAAAGCAAAGCGGCCGCTTTGTGTGTCGACAACGGCGGGGTTTGACGTCATCCGATCAAACACCAACCCCTCCCTTCGTCCCCAAACCCCCCACGCGGCGTGACGTCGCCTCGACGAGCCGCGCAAAGTGTGACGTCACGGCGAAAGTGTGACTTGAGAGTGACGTCCGCCGTCAAATTACGTCATAGTGAAACGGAGGCGTTCTCAGAGCAGGTGTGCTTTGTGTACTGGAGGAATAACGATGGAGCTGTAAATATTTTTTTCACGGATGTCCAGTAGTTACAACAAATACAAAAAAACACGATAGACGTGCAAAGTATGGGAAAGGTAAACAAATCACTTTAATTTAAAAACATTATCTTTTTGATTTAAAGCTTTCGTTACTGCAGGGATTCATATTCTTGGTAGAAGGGAAACAATAAAATAATAAAAATATAAAACAATAAAATTCTCACGACGTTTCGACTGCAACACAAGCAGTCATCATCAAGAATATAAATAAAGAGCTTAATCCGTATGTCTCAAACACCTTGAGGGTACTTCCCGACAAGGTATAAAGGTGACACATTTGGTACATAGGCAGCTTTTAGAACACAAACAACAGGGACAATCTGAAAAATTCGAGACTTTTTCATTTTAAGGCCCCCCAAATGTCGATTTTAAGTGCCCCATAAACATGTCTGTGCGTGTCATTCAGAAACCGTTGCAAATATAAGATTGTCGGTTTTTTTTATTTTGATAGAGCGGTGATCAGTTGAGGCCGAGTCGACCTAGGGGAGGCCCAGCACCGGTTCAGAGGTGACGTCATCCCGACATCGGTCGAGCCACAGTAATTACACGCAAGCACTATCATCGCCCCCTACCGGCACACGAATGCCCACATTCAGGCCGGTGCCGATCCAAGAAATCATTGAAGCCACGGTGTAGTTGACCAATGTGTTGTGTTTTGTTGTTGTTGTGCACCACTGCCAACGCAGCAGTGACAACAGTGGCGAGCTGTTTACTCCCTCGCCTGGTTAATATACAGGTCGTGGGGTCGATCCCGACCCTGACTCCTGTATATTTGGAGTTTGCGGTGTCTCCTCTCCCCGTGGTCTAGTCGCGTAGATTTTTCTCCGGGTCCTCCCGTTTTTGTTTCCCTTGCACGTGCCTTCACAGCATTTGGCCGCGATACAGTTCCACACGATAAGCCACTTCGTTGAGCTATCATTTGTAATAGCCAGGTCGCTTCTGAAAAAATAGCTATGCATATAGCTGTGGGCCTTACCTGGTACAAACGATAGCATACCTTTCGATTTAAAACTTTCGTGACTGCAGGGATTCATCTTCTTGGTTCTTTCGGTAAAGTCACGTAGACTGGAAATAAAATAATAAAAATGAAACATAAAATGTTTTTAAATGGAAATAAAATAATAAAAATAAAACATTTATTTTGTTTTATTTTTATTATTTTATTTCCATTCTACGTGACTTTACCGAAAGAACCAAGAAGATAGCAAACCTGTCAACCCATACGGTGTACCGGAATTCTTGTATACAGGGAAATTGAGTGTTCGGGTCCATGCGGCGTACAGCCGTTTCAATTTGTCCATTAGTTTGTGTTTCTCCCTTGTGATAGGACTTTGTAGGATAAACGTTGTGATTTATAAGCGCACGGTGTGACCAATAAGGTCTGATTTGGTCTGTAATACGGTGAGGGGTTGAACAGGTAGGCAGTAAATAGTTTCAGTGTCACCACCAAACAAGTTCCGTGTTGAACTTTGCGAGCGACGGCCCTCGGCTGACGTCGCTGGCACCACGTGCTGTTGTTTTGCGTGCCCCTCGCACGTGACGCCCGTCCCCGCCCTCTCAACCAATCAGCGATCGCAATTCGGCCTCCAGGCATGCCCCCCCCCCATGTGCTGGAAGATTCGGTGCAATTCGTCAACAACAATCGCGGCCTTAAAACGAGTAATATATCATCGGCGACGTTTCGGGCAATAGCCCTTCAGGAGTACATAAGAAGGCCAGGCCTTCCTCACGCAGGAGTGTCGGGGGTTACGTGAACCTCCGTGAGCGGAAGTGACGCCGCTTGTTTGGGATTGGGGCGGGGAGGGAGGGGGGATGGAGAACGGCGCGTGGTCCGCGCGCACGTGACGGCCGCACGTGACCGCCCGTCACGCGTGATGGAGCCGCTAGCCAATGAGGCGCCGAGAAACCGGGGCGCTGGTGCGCGTTTCCGCGTGGCCGGCCATCTTACGTGGGGGGGGGAGGGGTTTGAGAGGAGGCGAAGTGGCGCAGTGCGCGCGGAAGTGCCGTGCTGTTTAACGCGACGAAGCCCAAGGCCTTTCTTTCGGCTCGTAGTAGTAGTGAAAAACAAACACATCCCCGCACATTGCATTGGTGGGGTGGATGTGAACTCCCTCGCCTTGGTATGCGAGGAGGTCGTTTGGTTCTATACCGATCCCAACACTGACGCCTGCTGTATATTTGGGAGTCTGCATGTATATCTCTCGACCCGTGGTCGCGTGGATTTTTCTCCGGGGTTCTCCGGTTTCCCCTCCCCCCCACACACCCTCCACGTCTAAAATCAACATCACGCGTTTGGCAGGAATTCGGCTGCAATACATTTCAACACCATCAGGCCACTTTCGTTGAGCTTTCGTTGAGCTTATTTACGATAGCAGGGTCGCTTCTGGAAGAAGAAAAAAAGAGCGATATAGCTCTGTGACCCTTACCTGTTCAAATAAACAATAGTTTATAGTGTAATAATCCAAAGGTTATGTTTTCCCCGCAGTAATATGGTCGCCCGAGTTTGCTGACGTCACGCGCGATCGAGGCGACCCCTGCGAAGTAGTGGGCGGCGAGGGGGGCGGAGGGGTCCCCCGCTGCGCCCCACGTGACTCCCGCTGGGCCAATGAGCGCGCGCGGGCCGGCAGTGCGGCTGCGGAACGCAAAGACGGCGGCGGCGGCGGCAGCAGCAGCAAGAAGCGGCGACTAAAGCAGCGACAGTGGGGAAGACGCGAAGGGCAGCGACTGCAGAAGGCAGTAAAAGCAAGAGCAGAAGCGGCCTAGGGACATGGCGGCAGCGCGGGTCCCGTCCGCCCGCGAGGCGGGAGCAGCCGTGCAGTCGCCGATCACGCTGTCCCCGGAGCCGCGCACAGGTGACGACGACGCTGGTGGTGGTGGTGGTGGGAGGGGGTGAAAGTGATGGTGGTGCATAGAGTTATTGGTGAGGATTATGGGGGGGCTGGTGGTGAGGGGGAGAGAATGTGGGGTTTATTGGTGAGGGGGGTAAGCGATTTGGTGTGGGTGGATGAAGTGAATGGTGAGGGGGGGGGTCACGTGTGTCGGTGGGTGGTTGAGGGGGTGAATGATGAAGCATAAGGTGAATGAAGTGAGAGTGAGTGGTGAGGTGAGTGTGGTAAGGTTTTGAGGGTGGCCAGGCTACATATGAATGCTGAGAGGGGGGGTGAGTGGTGAGGTTTCGAATCAAAAGCTTTATTTAGACTAGCGGAATCCGATGAGCAATGAAGGTTAAAGATTAGTTGCGAGCGTGAGAAGTTGGTTGAACGTGCATAGGATGAGTGGTGAGGGCGTGAGTGGTGTGGCTATGAAGTGGTGAGAGGAGGGTGAGGGTACAAGTGGTGTATAGTGGAGGGGGGTGAGGGTTAGAGGGTGGTGAGATCGAGATGATAGTGAGGGTGAGTGAAGAGAAAGTGTAAAGGGATGGTGGAGAGTTGAGGGTCTATTGCGAGGTGGTCAGTGGTGAGGATGGGAATGGCGAAGGGTGAGTGAGTCGTCGTTGGTGAGCACTGCCTAGATGGTGAGTAGGTTTTGTGTGGTGAGGGCGAATGTGGAGAGGTTGCGATAGGTGATGATGGAGGTGCGGGAGAGAGGGAATACTTGACGGTGAGGATGCAGTGATTGGTGAGTGGTAGGGTTGAGGAGGAGGTAATGGGTTGAGTGGTAAGTGTGGACATGGTGAGGAGTGAGAGCAATAGAAGAAAACGATGAAGCAGGGTGATGAGGAGAGTGAATATTTGGTGGTTGGGGAGTGGTAAGGTTTTGTTATGTAATCATATTAATGAGTAATGTGTGATGTTTATTGAGATTAATTGTTGCGGTACGAGTGATAAGTAATACGTTATTTACTGGTGAACATTAACTCTATAAAGTCCGTGGTGAGTAGTAAGGGCTGCATTATTATTTCGTCTCAGCTCCACGCTCATGCTTGCATGCATTTCACCGCTCCCACTTAACGACTGTGGTAAACACTGGAAATCTCATTTCCGTCTTTTTTTTGTTGGGATCCAATGTTATGAAAGTGCAGACCGGTGCAGCACTATAGTTTTATTCGCTTTGCAAATTGATGGGTTGTGCGCTCCGTGTGGCACAGGTTTGTGTATGCCACCTGGCGACTGCTGCTACTGCCACTTTGTGCTGCACCGCATGCACAATGAGCTTACCGCAGGGAACAGCACCAGCACACGGTGATGGGGGATGTGATGGGGATTGTGGTGGTGAGAATGTGATGGGTGTGTGGAGGTGGTGGTAATGTGTTGGCTCTGCAGATGGTGGGGATGTCGATAGGTATTGAGATGCTGCTGCAGAGGCTGTGTTCATGGCAACAATTGCGTTCATACCATGATATATTTTCTTAATAGGACAATTTCAAATAGTACAGATTGAATTGAAAACTAATTTCTTTAGAACTGTTTTTTTATGTTTAGTTGTCCTTCCCCCGCACCTCCGATTAGCACGGTTGGCTACGTACTGTGAAAAAGTTATATTGAGGACATTTTCAAATTTAAGTTCATCACTAAGATTGGAAGCTTTGGAATTTCCGATGCTTTATTTTGTTTAATGGGCGTTTCAAGATATAGCCACCTCTGATTTCATAAAACTATCAAATGTGTTTATAAAAAAAAACATTTGTATGTTTAAAAAAAACATTTGCCAGTTGAAATCACACACAAACACACTAGCGAACTAGTTCGTGTGTGATAATTGTGCATAACAACCTGCACACAACCAGATTAACCCACAATTAAATTAGAGGCATGCATTTAATTGCATTAAAATTAGATCCCCTTGGATGCTGGCCCATTGGCTGCGTCACGTGCCCTAACGACACAACATTTTAAGCGTCTGACTTGCGTATTTTTGCACACTGTACGTTGGAGATAACCAACTGAGCATTTTTTGTTGTATCTCTCACGATATTCACCAAAACGGTTCACTTTCAGATACGGAACGCCTTGATCGGGTCAGCGCTTTAATGGAGCGGCTTCGAGCCAAGCACTCTGTAGGGAGGCCATGGTCCGACACCTTCAAGCTCGTGCGGCAGGCCATGGTAAGGATCATCATGGTGATGGTGACCATCTCCTGACAATGGTGCTTGAAAACTTCGCCTTGCCTCTCTGGTCACTATGCTCTCACCAAGATGGCACATCCTTGAGGTTATCGGGATCTGCCTTTGCCACATCGAAAGTGGTGGAGTAATCTTAAGTTCCCGCAATTTATAACATGGAAAATAACAAATCTCATTTGTATATTTAAGTGGAAGAAAAGGTTAACAAGAACTCTGGACACAAATTTCAACCAATATTGCCATTCATTGGCATTCGTGAATTCATTCTCTGTGAATGGGGCCAAAGGCAGGTGGCTCAGGATGATTTAGGCTATGCACAATTTTGCACACACTTTATCATCATTATGATAAGTTGATCAAATAAGTTGCTTGATACCAGCTTATTGCATATATTTTATATATTTAAAATAGAATGTTTGAATTTGAAAACAAAACTAGTGGCAGTCATGGGAGAATGGATCACTTTCCCTCAACACCTGGCAGCTCTTTAGAGCTCAGTCACGCAAAGACATTCAACCTGAAGCTGCTCGAGTCAATAGTGTTACATTACAATTTGCAGCCAAGCAGACGTGTGTTTGTGTATCCAAGTGTTATTTTGTGCTTTGTTGCATCTTATGTAAAAATGTGTACATGTTTGTAAGGAGCCAAAGACAGCTGGACGTGGTGCTGGTCACATCACCCACTCGTGTTCTGTGCCGGCCTTCATAGGTGCTCGTTAACAGCACTTGCTCCCAGTCCCCTATGTAGGATATACGAAGGATCTTATATTTCAGCGTGTATACTGTATGTGTGGGTGGAGCGGTAGCCTAGTGGTTTGCACACTGCACTCCGAACCCAGCGATCTGAGTTTGATTCAAACTCACGACCAACATCAGTAGAGAATTTATCCATTGGTGCGGTACGTAGAACATCAGCACTTGGGAGAAAAAGGTGGGCGGGCATGGTCTTGGCCACACCACCCCCTCAACAGCCTGTGTAGGATATATAAGATGCACAGGTGCTTGCTAACAGCCCTTGCCCCAGCAGTCTTTTAAAATCTATATGGGGGATTTTTGTGTTTCAGGAGAAGCGCATGATGCCGGAGTCAGGAGGTCATCAGCGTCTCCTACACTGTCTGGAGACCATCCAGAAGGTGCTCAAAGGTAATCAACTCTGCCACAGGTTTCTTATTTTTATACTGCATTTGGTATAAGATGCATATGAGATGGTAAAACATTATATAAACTCATTAAAATACAGTAAAATCTATTGAAACAGACTGCAGCAGGGCATAATTTGGGGTAAAGCAGAAGGCTTCTGAAAATACATATATAAATATTTCACGAATAAACCAAGAAGCTCTGACACGAATGCTGTTTACTTGCTAATTAAGCTGTGAGCGGTATAATTACATTTTTATTTAAAGCTTTCATGACTGCAGGGATTCATATTCTTGGTTCTTTCGGTAAAGTCACGTAGAAGGGAAACAAAATAATACAAATATAAAACAATAGAATTCTCATGACGTTTCGACTGCAACACAAGCAATCATCAGGTGTGAAAACCACAGCAAGAAAATTTGAAAAAAGTGGCAGTTTTTTTTTACGTTAGCACCACGGAGAGCGATTTGGCAGTTATTCAGATGGACGAGTCCATCTATGTTCGGAAAAGAGGAGGGGGGAGATGAAAATAATGGATGCGGTCTGAAAGCCACCATAAGCATGAACAATCAATTAAGACCCAAAATGGTTTATCACATCCTTCCAATGATTGCTAAGCCAGAATCCATCTTCTCGGTTGAAATTGTCTCTGTGTTTGTATATGTGGATAGCCTCAGGAACGATTCTCTCATGGTAGCCAGATGGCTTGCAAAGAACCTCTGTCTTGGAGAAGTCAATGTCATGTGAGCCTACTGAATTATAAGTAATTAAATGTTATGTAAAATTAGGTCAACATGTTCCCTTGGAAATCATGTCCTGCTCGTTGCCCCCTTGTTTTTGACATACATTTTATATGTTACAAATTAATTTTTTCAAGCCCGTCAGAAAAATCTCCTTAGTCTTCTGTACCGAGTGAACCCCTCAGCCTTCCTGTCCTTCGTTGTGATGGTGACTCAGATTAATCTATACTGTAGTGATTATTTAGCCTTATTAAATTATAAATATTACATATATAGGTAAGTCTTATTAAGTGGTAATTGAATGTCTTCATTACATACAATTTTAATACAAATTTAGTGATGTATTATAATTATTTGCTGTATTCCGAACATCCCCCATAATCGAAAAAGACTTGCCCAATTAGTCCGGCTTCAAAAGGGTTTACTGTTATTCTAAAACTAAATTGTAACGTAAACACTTCAAAAAGTCATCCATATCGTCAGTGCCAAGAAATATTTACTCTTCATTGCTGTAAAATTGAGAAAATCAAGATAAGCCAGGTCGTTGTGACTTTTTTTGTTTCAGGGGTTTCCCTGACCATTTGGACCACCCCTTGTACATTTACACACATTGCAACATAACTGATTCCCCATGGCATTTTGGGTACTAGTTAATTACTAGCCGATACAGTTATATATTTTTCCCCATAGATAATTGTCACAAATACACTCTTTGGTTCTTTCGGTGCAATTTTCACAATATGAGATTATGTTTATTTATTTCAAACAGGTTCTAATTAAGAATGTAATAATTCACCCATTTCACAATTCATAATCCATAGTGGTATACATTTGGAGAAGTTACTTCGAAGTAAACACGATTCTAAATCATCATTTATATAATTCAATGTACGTATCAATAATGTAAGACTATATTAATTGTTATCTGACTATTTATGAATGTTATTGTAAAATTGATGATGGTGCAAGCTTTAAAACGATGCTGCATCTTGTGCATGTGCAGTGAACTCCCTCCCAGGAATGGTGGATCGGCTGGAGGCTTTGGCCAAGCACAACGGGTGAGTGGGGGTGTGAAGTATGGTGATAACAAGCACATTTGCAGTATTTTTAGATTCAGTGCACTGTAGTGATTGCAATTAAACTACAGTTTTTTATGATAGCTGCATTTATGGTCTATATATATGAAAAAGAGGAAATTATTAATCTTACTGAACTAACTGCTGATACTGTTACATGTTTATTACAGTTATGAAAGGAATGGCACTGGCTTCAGCTGTCCTCTTTAGCACAGTTTAATGAAAACACTCAACATTGCCAGTTATATATTCTTTGTGTTTATTGCTGTGAACATCCACATGCATCGTCTTTTTTTAGGCAAGTAGGTTTGTGCGTACATCCTTGTCGTGTGAATGTGAACATTTGCATATACACTGTTTTGCATGTTATTTTCATTGGTAAAATGCACACGTTTTGAAAATGTTAAGGGCTTCATGGGCTTATTTATCGAATTATTTTGTTACATATATTTTACACAATGCCATCCGATGCCCCTGCACACCCTTGCAAAGGATTATCCACGTGCAATATTTGATTATATATTTTGTTAGATTTCTGCCTGTGTTTTGTTGTATTGGCTGTACCTTGGGAATATTAAATGACTTCAAGAACAATCCACTGAGGAGGCTGTTATCAGTTCAAATTTTAATTCTCTATACTCATGTTTTTTTTGCGTTTTTCTCTTTCAACGTTCCAGGTAGAGCCATGATATATAGCATAACACTATCCCTGACATTCTTCCCTCTGCAACACCAGCTTTTGGACATTTCTGCAATACATCCTATCCTGACTGGAACATGAATGTTGCTTCATGTTCTTTCTCATCTGATTATCTCTGCAATGAAAACGTTGCAGAGATTCAATTAAAAATAATGGGGCAAATGTGAATCTGGCTCCTGATATTGTATGCATCATTATTCATAAAGGAATTTAAGTTTTTGATGGGTAATTAATGAAAACATTTTATAGCATACAAGGTTGGCTTGTGCTAAAGAATGGTCAACCATTCAGCATGGAGTCCCTTTTAAAGGATCATTGATGACATAATATATATTAATGACACATTTTTCCTTACATGTGTACTAAAAGTCATTTCATAGATCAGTAATACCACAAAAATACTTTGTGTAATTGATAATGTACAAGACATAATCATGGGTACACAGGAGCATTCATTGATGGGCCCCATGAAGGTGAGCTCACTAAATATATATAGAATATAAAAATACAAGCTCGTGGAAATGTTTTGATATTGAACAACATGTGCCTCAAGGCATAGACATCTCCTTAAGGGTGGCCTCTGTGATGTGTGCGACACAGACTGGCGTCCCACCTCGGCCCCACAGGAAAAGAGTGCTATATCACTTCGGACATGTTCTACCTGGAGGTGCAGATGGAGCCATCTGGAGTTGTGAGCGATGTGAGGGTAGCCCATCATGGTGAAATCAACCCTGCCGTGAGTTTTCTCTCAGCCTCTGGCCGTTTGTTCAGTGTTTCTCATCTCGAGTGAACTCGACAACCAGTAAGCGACATGGTTCCTGTACCAGCAGTTCAGTAGAATGCACCTCCCCTGCTAATTGACATGAACCCTATGTTTTTTTTGGTAGTGAATATATGTCATGGATTTCTTAAAAAAAATACTAATGCCCTTTAGCCTTGAATGCCTCATTAATTCTCAAGACCTTTTGTCTTTTGTTGTGCTCTATTTTTTTCAATTTCTTTCTCACGGTTTTGAAGAGTGCTGTGCATTTTGTCTTTTGTTCAGAATTTTCCTTTTTTTTCCTCTTCAACTTATTAATAGTGGCTTTAGATAACTTGTTCTCAATTATCTTTTTTTACTTTGCCATCTCAATTTCAATGCACTGTATTGAAATGTTAGTTATTTAAATATCGATAGTGGTGACATCGATTTCATAATTTTGCTCTGGAGGTTGAAATCTCTTGCTTGAAGCCAGTCGAAATTCTCTGACCCCCAAAATTTGATTTCTGATGTCAGCTGTCTTGTTTTTGTTCTGTCATTCTCACTTCTAATTCTCCTAGAACTTTCTGCTGCTTTTTCGACCACTCTATCCTCCTTGAGCACCTCCATAACAACGTCGGTGTCGCCAGCACACTTCTCTCTTGGTATCACTTTTACCCCCCTCAAGCTGCTCTTTATGTTTACAAACAAGTACTGTTCTTCTCTCAGTAAACCCATGTGCTCTGGTGTCTCACGAGGTTCCATCTTCAGTCTCCTGCTCTTCCCAATATTTTCTCACCACTCTTTGGAATTAATCCGTAGTTTACATGTTGACAAATGTTTCAATGCTGATGACACCCAGCTTTATATGACCATTTAATGCATGGACCCGACCTCGGTGTCCACTTTTGCATATTTTTTACATGGTCTTCTCTTGAATTGGTTATAATTTCCTCCAGCCAGCTGTTACCAAAAATGAAGTACCCATAGGCTAAAGTCGACTCTCAACGTAAAGATGCCACTTTGAGTATAATAATACTCGTACAACAATAATCATCCAACTGTTATAGTAATACTTGACTCACAGTTGACCGCTGAATTTAAATATAATAGAATGCTTTTCGAATTGCACATTCCCAAGATTGCCTTGAATCCGCCCAACCTTGTCGGATATCAGAAGCTAAGCAGGAACGAGTAAGGATGATAGATCACCACCATGCGTACACAGATAGTCATAGGGGTTTTCAGGGCTACGTGGTGGACAGCAGAGGGTAGTGTAGAAAAAAAATCTAGTTTTATACATCTATCTGTGATCCCCCCCGCCCTCCTTCATCAATCCGCATGAACCAATATGGTGACGTGTGGTCACATAACCCCCACGACCCCCGCAGCTTGAGGAGCCCCTCGCCCAGCAGTGGATTGACAAAAGGGCTGTACATACACACTCCTAGAATGACTACAATTATACTCTTGCATGTGGAAGTATATCCAGGAGCTAAATGCCAATGGCGAGGTCTAATAGCCATGTGAGGGCTTCAGAAAATAATTTGTAGTTTTGCTATTCCTTCATTAAAGGAGAGACAACTGTGCAGTGGTTTAATATAGCCTGCAGTCGTTTAACACCTTCCTGCGGAGGGAGCTGGTAGGAACGTTGGGTTGTTCGGTCAATGGCCAGGGTCAACGGCGGCGTGGTGTATTCCGCAAATATGCCCGACTGTGAGGGCGGGCACAAGCCGGCGTGAGTAGGTTAAACGTTGAGTTTTATAAGGGCACCACGGGGTGACCAGCCCCTCCCCACCCAGCCTCACCTCTCCCTCCCTCCACCCAGCCCCACCCCCCACCCAGCCCCACCCTCCCCACCCCCTACCCAGCCCCACCCTCCTCACCCAGCCCCTCCCCACCCTCCCCACCCAGCCCCTCCCCACTCTCCCCACCCAGCCCCTCCCTTCCCACCCAGCCCCTCCCCACCCTCCCCTCCACCCAGCCCCACCCCTCCCATTTTTGGATGCACGACGGACGGACACAAACAGGTCCCTGCAGGGTGGGCTGGTAGGAACATTGGAATTTGGCGCAATTTTATGACATTGTTACGTAAAATTGTGCAAATTGAGAGCGTCTTCCCACCTTTTTGCCCTCAAAATCGTTGAGGGTTCTTCGGACAAATTAACCTCTGTAGAGGAATGGAATGGTGAAATCCTTATTGACTGAAATCTGCTCATTTTGGAGCAATGTATCATAAAATCGTTAAGGGCTGGGCCGAAAAATGACAATTGCATTTTAAAATGAGGAATTGTTTCCCGGTATACGGTAGTATGGGGCTTTTGAAAGGGGACGGACGGACGGACGGACAAATTAATCTATTGCAGGCTGGTACACTCAGTTTACAACTTCGTTTCTACCAGTATAATCCCCTGTGGGTTGGTGTAACCAGGAGGTTCCTACCAGTAATATAGTCTGTAGTGCCTCTGCAACAGAGGAATAGCAAAACTACATGAATAGTAAATAATTGTGATAGGAATTGCTTTACACAGCACTGCGATAATAGTGAACTCACGTTTATTTGGTGTAATGGGGAAGAGGAGTGCCCGGATAACGAAAAACATCTAAGTGAGGCTTTAAAACAAATGTATTGCTCAAGTGTATATTATCGGGATGAAGATTTTGATTGTGTTGTCTGTTTTGATTGATTCTTCAAGTAATTAGTTGATTTTGTACAGTAATCTGTTTACTTGTGGAAATATGAAGTCACGTGGGCACTGGGTTCTTGACCCCAGATGAGTGAGGAACAGCTAGTTAAACCAGCGTGCACAGAAACTTTGTATTTTTATTTGCGCAAGACGGCTAATTGGCAACGCGGATAATCCACCCATGGTTAATGAAACCTAACTACACTTCCTACTTCTGTTGTAGCTGAAATATAGTTCTTATGTTTTCTTCTGATAAACAAACTGTTACATAAAGCGCTAGATTTTCTACAGTATACAGTCTTGTAACTGTTGAAAGCTCGGACGCTGTGCTATGTAAATTAGTTTTAATTTTTAGATTTTCAAACGATTCTTGAACAAACTTCATGTATATCGCTTCATATTGAAGATATACAAACCTTTGATATATATTAGTGCTGAGCATTATATACACATTTTTTTAAACATAAAAAATCTGTAGATTCTAAAGAACCCAACTTTCTGTACTACCATCTCCTGGTCATCGTTTAGTCTTTAAATGCTAACACAGTCATGATGACCTCAATTTCATAATTTTTTTAAAAGTAATTTCACAGTTGCTCATTTGTGTGCTCTTGTAAAGTACATAATGAGCTTTTAAAACTCTTAAACGCATACTGTATGCTGACAGAAGTATTTAATGTGGAGCTGCAGCACAGACAATACTGGCATTTTACATTTTAAAATAAGCTTGAGTGATAAAGAAGTCTCAACATGTTTATAAAGTACTGTACTGGGGAAAAAAAATAGAGCAATTCCATTTGTCAGTCTCCAGCTTCCATAGCGCAGTGAGCTATGCAGGGGCATCGTAATTAGATTAATATTCTTCATGAAATAATTAACAGATTCCTAGGTTTATTAAATTGGGGTGTATTTCCGAAACAAAAGTATTTGGTGCGCACATGTGTAATAAACTGTTAATCCCTCTGACATTGAAACAATTTATTTCCACATGGTATAGTCCTACAAAATAAACTCTCATGGCTGACTGCATAATACGTAGATTTGACATTGTATGCATTGTGTTAGAAGGGCCAATGCTGATGTTGACATTTTGTTTGTGTTTTTAGAGTTGTCCAGAGCTGACGCAGATACTGAGGTAAGCAGCTTATTGACTGCAGCTGTAGCTGACAGTAATGTTGGTTTCTACAGTTCCTATTTTAACGGTATAATTTTTTTTCGAAAGAGTATATTGAAGTCATGGAACCCTTTAAAAAAATTATCAGTATCAATTCCACAAATTTTATACAAACAATATTTACGTCTTACACTGGTGCTTTCACCTGTCAGTTTAAAAAAAAATGCATTTATATAATACCATAAATGTTATACATTTGTCAGAACATGTTTATTCCTATGCTAAAAACCGCACCAATGTCTTTTTGGCAACTTAAGTAAATGTATTGCTTCTACCCAGGTTATTAAGTTGTCCACCAAATACGTTCTTCATTGCATGTAATCGATCATTGCTGTCAAAGTTCTACAGGTGTCTCAGCACTTGGTAGTGCTGCAAGAGATGCTGGCAGGGACCTCGCATTACATGTGATTAGCCTTGTGCAGCTTGTTCACACTCGGACATTGTTAGCTTGTGCTCGCTGATGCGTCATGTGTGCTGCAATGTGTTTTCATAGCGCCCATAATAGAACTCTTGAATTGTTTATTAAACAGATGACCGTCTTTCGAGTGCATGGACATGATAGGCTGTCGTATAATAATCAGCCAGTTGCACGTGCAAAACTGCTTCCAGCTGAAAAAGATTCAGGAAATTTGAAACGACTGTAAACTGTGACATCACAGCACATGGAGTCTGTAGCTGGTATATAGACACATTGGTTTCAGTTAATTTCTTGACAATTTAATCATGATTTAGCTGTCATGTTCACAGGCAGATCCAGTGCATGCTAGGACATTTAGTATCACTAGGTGCAATGCTTTAAAGTAGTGTGTAAGTACGAGGATTATTAGACACGAAATGAATGTGGCTTGAGAAGGAAAACACGAATAATATAGTTTTTTGTATGACTGTCACTGTTCATTTAGAGATTGGAATGGAGCTTAATGATCACATTGCACTGTGGTGAGGCTCACTTTTGATGCTGCTGTTGTCTAGAGAAGGGAATTTGGAGGAGTTCTCGAAGCATTTGGAGGGGCTGGCAAGCCTCTACAAGCTGCCAGGAGACAGGTACTTGCACTCCACTGTTCAAGTGCTTCATTACTCCAGCATGATTGAGAGGGGGAGCCAGCCATTAAGGTTTTCTGAGGATGTGGAGCTTTTCCATGTCTGGCAAACCACTCAAGGGGCCCGGCAGTGTTGAATTAGCCTCAACAAGAGGTGGCTAAGGGGGCCCAATGTATATTAGAGTACCATGTCATTCATGTAGCACAGGCCTGAGATTACTGGTGTAAGTTAATTCAGATTGTTAATTAATCAAGATCTTTGTGAAAGATAAAAAACAAATAAACAGATTGAAAAACTGGTTGATGGACGAAATAGTTTCTCTTGTACGAAGAGTTCATGCTTTCAGCCCAGTTACAACCTTGGTTAAACATCAACATACACAATTTGGTGTTTTACTTGGTTCAGTGGTTGTTTAAGATAGATCCTTGAAGATTATTGAGGAAAGGACTTTGAAGTTCTTTCCAAGTTGGTGTACCATGAAACACGAGGTTCTGCTGCCAAAATGAGTTAGACGGTAAAAGTGCATCACATCATAGCTAGAAGCTGATTACAAATCCAAAATAGAATTTAGTGGTGAAAAATGGCATAATTTGGACAAGCACACCCCTTGAGTGCAAGTCGAGATTTGCTTACACCAAAGTGTGCTTGTATCAGAAGTTGCCTTCTGTCTCCCCCCTCCTGGTATCATGTGAGAATGTGTTTCCTATACTAAAACTGTTTTAATATTGAGGTGTGCTCATATCTAGTTTCTACAGTCACTTGGTCATGTCGAGAAGATGTGTCAAGGTGTGAATTCCTTGGCCCTACATTAGTACGAATTTGGCAGAAACTGCAAAATGGATAAACGTATGACATTGAGGCTATGCATTCTAGTATCAGCTTTCATTCTTGCTGATTTGCCATGGGATTGGGGAATGCGCACCAGGGCTCAGTGTTACAGTTCATTGGCTGTAAGAGTGGCCCTGGCACACGCTCTAATTTGCTTGTGCCTCTTTCCAGAGAGATAAGCCGTCTGAAAATATGGCCTGTGTTTTTTTTTCCTGTAGCAAGCTGAAAACAAAGGTCTACCTTGCCCTACAGTCTTTGGAGATGGACCTGGCCAAGATGGCTCAGATGCACAGGTTAGGATTGTGCCAAGTGCGGAGATGCAAGGGTCTTTACATCAACGGATTTATGTTTTGTTATTCCACATACTGGTCTTTGGCCAAAAATAAATGTTGGTCTAATGTTACTACCATCAAAATTTAAAGAGAAAGTAATTTATATGGAGCATTCACAGTGACGGCTATTGTGTGGTGTTTATGCTTGGTAACAGGGCAGCCACCAATGTGAGCGTAGAGGAAGTGATTCTGCAAGGCGTGGTGGGGTACGTCAGCCCTCGCATGGGAGGTAGGTTCCTCGCAACCTGAACAGCTCTTACTGTTAAAGTCGTCGCACATAAATAAGTGATGTAGAGAGTATATTCTTAGTTCTTTCGGTAAAGTCACATAGAAGGGAAACAATAAAATAATAAAAATATAAAACAATAACATTTTTATTATTTTATTGTTTCCCTTTTACGTGACTTTACCGAAAGAACCAAGAATATGAATCCCTGCAGTCACAAAAGCTTTAAATCAAAATAAAAGATGTAGAGAGTGAATTTATTTTACAGATGTTTTAGTATGTATTACACTGCCTAGCTTTTGCTAATGTGGGTTGGCTAATGCATTTGTTTCTGTTCTGTATGACCTTGCAGGCCACCTTATGACCCTCAAATACTTCGTCTCGCCATACGACCTGCTGGATGAGAAGACAAAATCCACTGTTACGTTAAACGATAACAATGGTAACCTGCACATCAAGGGATAGCACTGTTAATAATACAATTTCAAAAGCCATACCAGACTGCTACTTGTGAAAGCTCTATTTATTGTGCATGCATTTTTATTACATTATCAATGCAAGATGTTTGTTTTATAAAAGGCCTGTTTTGGAGTTATCATAACATTCTAAGTATGCCAATTGGAATTGATGCAGGATCGATACACAGTTCACAACTAATGCCCGACACATGTACTGCACTAAGCATCAACAGAGCAGTACATGTGTCACATCTCATGTGGAGGTCATTGTAGATGTTCGGGATGTTACCTTCACCTCCGTGCCCATGAATACGCATGTGGCATAAATATTCGATCAAAGTCCAGTGGCCACTGCTGTAATCTCACTCTGAGCCTACTCGCCCCTCCCTGCACGCTCAGTGCCTCGTTTACTAGGCATGAATGCGCACGTGATGATCGAAGCGACTACAGGGCCATTCAAGCTGCCCATCGCGCCTCTCATCGCTGGCACACACCCTATTGATGGCACCGGGTGAGTCTGCTCTGGGTCAGTGTTTGCTGGGCGTTATTGAATTGCAGCTTAAGGTTTGATGACTAGGAAAGAAATATAGCTTTTCCTGGACCCAGCTTGGAATCTGACACTCGAGCATGATACATGTGTTCATGTTACAGCACAGTAAATGAGTGGAAAAGAAAATTCCCATCTGCCATAATTGCAAATATTTGGACCAAATGCACCATATAAAAGACTAAAAAATGTGTCGATGTGCCTAAATAAATGTCTGATCACTGTATATTGATTACCTGTTGTAATTTGTATCAGAATCATAGACTGATAAGGGTATTTGAATAAAAGCTAAAAAGTGCACAAGAAAATATGTGGAGAATTACTCTGAGAGACAGAAAGGGGAAACACATCGATCAGCGAAAAGAATCATGTTCAGGACATATTAAGGGGCCATCCATTTAGTACGTACGCATGGGGGGGGGTGAAGCCTCGATAATAATGTCTACATTGACCTTCAAATGAGTTAGTCCAGCGGTGGACTATCTATTTGCTTAAACACGTTAATATTATGCATCCTTGATCGTTTCTGCATGGATTAAATATCGGCCGTTCTATAGGATTCGGGGGGGATGCATCAAGCGTACGGATTTAGGTGGGGGGGGGGGGGGGTTGTAAAAAGTATGCGTGCATACAGGGAGGGAGGGGGGTCAAGTTTTGACAGAATTTTGCGTTCGTACTAAATGGATGGCCCCTAACTGTTCAGAAAAGTAAGTTGTGCTTGGACAGAACATCGGTGGTTGAGACTTCATAACAGTGATAGCTGTCGGAGGGAAAGTCCCTGATATGACCTCCACCATGGAGATGTATGGATGTTGGACTTCTTTCGCACCGTACAAGCCAACCATGCTAATCATGTGCAGGAGCTAGATTGTTGCATGGTGTAATTTGGATTGTGGGATGGTGACAGCGTGGAAAGATCTTTCTTCAGCAGTGGAAAGATTGACCCGAATGATACGTTATAACAAAGTAATATCTAGATCTTGTAATAATTATATAGGGTTGCGACTCAAGTGCTTCTTAAACAGATATCATAAAACCAACATAGTATTTAAAGTTCATGACTTCGGAGCTATATTTTGTTCTGCAATGTTTTCTATAGGATGTGCAGTGGTAATGCAGAGCATTGCAGTTTTGGTAACATACGGGAGTGTGTGCATGTCAGTCATGCAACCATAGCAACCAACGGAAACAATGTTGGTAAAATATAGAGAAATGTCACATTGAACTTCACATGAGTATCATCATGAATTCTTATGCTCCGTGTTATTATTTAGTATGCAAGAACAAAAACATCACTCACGGTGACATTTTAAAGAAGACTCTGGAATCAGCCACACTCTTGACGCTTCGTGATGTGTTGTGGCTTTGCTTTGGAATGCCATCTTCAAAGTGACATCTGCTCTACTTGAGTGACTGCTCATTAATCAGCGAGTGTTTTTCTTCTCCCAGTATGCCGTCCTTCTCCGCCATCTCAAATGCAAACAGCATCGATCTACCGGCTTGCTTCTACCTCAAGTTCCCACAGCCCCTGCCTTTGTCCGACACGGCCATGCAGCAGATCCAAACCAAAACAGGTGCAGTTGAACTGCACATGTTAGTCATGAAGGATTGGTTCACGTCAGTATTGTGGTGTTTTTATTTCCACTGTTGTCTTTACATTTTATACCTCAAATGTACAACAATCCCACATTGCCAGTTACATTCAATGATCTTAATTAGATTTTTTTCATATCCATAAAGAGTGATATATTTATGCAGGTTTATGGTCGGGAGTGAGCGCAATGGTTCACGTACTGTACTTTGATCCCAATGACTTTGATTCCATTCCTGGCTTCACAATGGCAGTGGTAATTGTCGTCTAAAAGTGGTATGAGCCGGCACAAGCGTTCCTCTGCCAAAAACAAGTGCCCTGTGCAGTGTGTAAACATCAGCATTATGGAGACAAAAGGGCTAGGCATTGGGGGCTGCCTTTATCTCTAATAGGTGCTCAGTAATACTACAATTCCATGGACAGCCTACTCCAGTCAGCTTGAGTGTACTCAAGTTAGCCTTACCTTAAGGGAGCCTAAACTTGAGTTGGTTAAAAAAAAAATCCTGAGTTATTTGAGTTATAACACGAGTTGGGAAGATCTTTCCCAGTAATATTTGTGAGGAGTAAAAGTCCAAGCTCACGTTGCTGATAAAATTAAGTATTTAATTCTACATGTTAAATTAAATTAATCTATAAATGTACTTTTTCCGACGAAATTTCAACTGGGTGAGCTGGGCTCCGCGCCTCTGAGTTGCCTTCAGGCTTTTTTGTCCATTTGCAAAATTGTGCGATGTTATAAATCGTCTGTTGTATGTTTCTGCTGCCTACAGAATCTTGTATTGACGTTTGGTGATTAATTTCTGCTCAGCCCAAATTTTGATGTAGGAAATTCACATGAAGCAAACTCAGCCCAGAAAATGTGGACGCCCGGTTATAATGGCAGCCAATTTGAGTTGACAAAACATATGAAAACATGGCAATCTGAGTACATAGGTGAGTTCTGTGCCATCAGTAATCTACGAAGCTATAAACAGTGTGTTAGTCTGTGCATGCTCATGCATCCCTTGTGTGTGTTATGTGCATGTGGGTTCCTCATTGACAGGGATTCCTGTGACGCATGTGGATACGATGGGGCCTCTCTTTGAGCTCATCGGTCACGTCACACAAGGACAGACACCACCACCCCAGCCGGGGTCTTCTACTGAACATGCAATGTACTACTGTGTGGTGGGTTCATGCCAGACCAATACACGATTGTCCATGTGTGCACACTGTGAAGCAATTTTAATTACTTGGATTGGAGTACAGCTGATGCATATCATTGCCTCAAAATGTGTTCATTATTATCTGGTGTGTTGTGTAAGCATCAGCACTGCTGAGACACAGAGGTCTAAGATGTGGTGCTGACCACAATGCCCATTGTGTGCCTATATGGGGACTTTATAACTCTAAGAATGTGAAGTATAATACGTGTTGTGAGAAATATCGCATTTAAATATTTGAAAAATGAGTTTGATTTCCATTGAACTTTTGCCCTCCAAACTCAATTGGTGTGCACTTTAATGAGGGGAGATGCACACACACACACTGGTGGCACGTTGTATGTGTGAGTGCACAATCATTGGTGTATACCTTATATGTGTGCACCACATGCTATTTCATGTTTGGTAAAAAAAAAATATTTGTGACATAAGGAAACATTTTAAGTTTGGCTGAAAGTTCTTCCTCAGGACATCCTGTATAGATAAGCACAATAGCATACAAACAATGTAACATTTATCAGCACATGCAATAAATAATAAGATGACAGTGTTATTTTCTTTGACACAATTTACTTGCTTGGTTGACTCATTTAATCCCTATGGTATCCAGCTGCTACATGCATGACAAAATACTTCCTCCCTTTACTATTATAGCTCCCCTTGGAACTTCTTACATCTGTCTTTCTATTAACCCAATTTAAATCAACAACCTTGTCAATTCAATATTAAATGAAATAATCTATAACTTACTATTCGTGCAAATTATATGCAAATTAATGCAGATTAAAAAACTAAACTGTAAATAAGACAAAAACCAAGATAAAACAAATTATTTAGTAAAAATATTAATATTTTATTTTTGAATAAATTTGGACCCTAAATTGTGGCCATTCCATGAATCACTGGGTTGATAAATGCTTATGAATTCCATCCAAAAATAAACTTTGAGCACTTTGCCTTTTCCCATCCCTTCCTAGCACTAGGCCAATAGGCCAATCCCTTTTTAAAACGGCGCCATGCGACTGTGTGTGTGGCGAGCAGGTCCTTCCGGACCAACGGCACTGTTACTTCCTGAATAAGCGAGCAGTGCGGCAGGATGGGCGAGAGCTGGTGGGCGCGCTCGTGAGACAGGTGCCCTTCTCGCACCCCAGCCACGTGCCGGCCGTGCTGGCGGCCGTGCGGCGCCAGCTCATCTACAACGCATTGCTGGACAGCTGCATGCGCCGCTGCCTGCGCACTGGGATCACCGACGGTGAGAAGCGTCCGGTTCAGCAGGGGTGACCCTGCAGATTAGGCAATGTAACAATTTTACCTTTCCACAAGTCGATGGCTTTGAGCTCACGGTTTTCGTCACGAATTATTATTATTTTGCCCTCGTGCATTGATAGCCTATTCAAGAGTAAAAATATATGTGTAAGTTTATATGGAACATTTTTTCCAATCCACTGCTGGATGAGGGCCTCCCTACACCATACGGGTTGTTGGAGTAATTTGACCATACTTCACCATGCTTGTCAGTGCAGGTTGGTAAAGGCATTGAGCATAAACATTTGGAGTATGATACAGCGTAACAATTTATTTTCCTGCACTAATCTCTGCTGTTGATTTTAAAGGCTATTAGTCAACCCATCACATGGCACTAAAATTAGTACTACTTGAGGGAAGTCATCTCTGAGAGTCTTATTTATCACTTGCTGAGCACAGACCGAAAGGCCAAAATTTAAGTTGGCTAGCAACAAACAGCACGATGTAATCAATGAGAGTTAATGTTTAACAGGCAATGAAGATAACCTTATACCTTAATGAGTTATTCGAGTTGTAAGTCTACGTTATTCTGCTGTAATCCATTTTTACTTAAGTTGTATAAATATGGCTTTCACAATGTAAATAGCCAGGGTGCTGTAATATATTTTAAAATGTTGTTAAATAATAGATGTTTACCCACATTAATGGGTTCTAGAAATCTATACAATTGAGAAACTTAACATTAAGCACACATAAAACCTATCTCAAGGCTCAATGGTGTATTGGAGATTTAGGCTCGGAGTTTTACTACAAAGTGGCTCTTAGTGTCACGATGTGAAGAATAACAAATGCAACAAGTAATGGCTTGCACAGAAGTTTTGTGTAGTTTACATTTGCAGAACCAATAGTGAAGGTAACTTTAATTCAAATCACAGATTCTGAAATTTCTGTATAGGCAGATGGCATGGGTAAAGTGCCCGTTTAGGCTTGGGCGAGTGATTTGTGTGGATCCCGGAGCAGAGCTCTGTACCACATTGGTCTCTTATCAATTTATTTGTATGAAAATGCCACAGAAGTGGATTGAAGCACTCATAATAGCTTGAGCATGTGTGTGCACACTAACCGATAGTGATTGATGCTCTGTCATTCCCAGATATGTCTGATTACTACCAGTTTGAAGTGAGTCCCCTTGCGGACTACAGCTTTACAGTCACCTTCCAGCACCCACTAACGGACAGCATGGCCTGTGGTAAGCTCCAGTACACAGTATGATCTACTTGATATATCTTATCTTATATAGATTTATATTGCACCGTAATCCAAGGTGCTTTAAAACAATTATACAATCGTATGAAAGATGATAGTGGTTAAAATAAAGAGTGAGGTTATTAAAAGTGGTGGGGTAGTTGTGGTGACAGGAGGACAGGTGGGAGTAGTCAAGAGGGATTGTGGTAGGCCTGGTCGTAGCTTGGTGTGGGCAGGGAGTAGCAGTTGTAAGATGGGCATTGTGTGGGAGGCTAAAAATTATCCGGGCTGCGGCATTTTGTCTGTTGGAGAGGAGTAAAGGCGTAGGCAGGAAAGCAATTGTCAAGTTGAGTTATACATTTAGCATATTTTTCCTGTGATATGTATCTAGAGCATTGATCCGTGACTGTGCATATACTATGCTTGTAGACATTTTAAAATGTTTGCTCTACGAATGTCCTTTATTTTTATCTTAAGTGGAAAACTGTGTAAGTGTCCATTTCTAACAGGTTTCACTCAATTACCTTAAGCCATAAGATGTAAGCATATCTATGAATGCAAACATTACGCATGCATTTAAAATAAATGTTTGCTTTTTGGCCATAAACATGTTTAAAAATATATAGTAAGAGTTGGGTTCTTGGAATTTTGTTCTGTAACAAATATACTTAATTAACTTTCGTGAGAATATATATTTTAGGAAATAGACTCGGGGAGGCCCTCATCCAGCAGTGGATTGATCATGGGTGACGATGATGATGTATTCTGTCCACATGTTGTCATGAAACGTTGACATTTGCTGTTGTAACTGAAATCGAAAAATGTGCCACTGTGTCAAAGTATGGAAGATTACATTAAGTCACTTTTATTATGCTTGTTTTAGCCAGGAAAGCCTCACTGAGTATCACGGCTCTTTCAGGAGGGTCCTGCCACGTTTTCACAGGAGGGGTGATGATTTGTATGTAGATTACAATTGAGTAATTTGCAGGTAATATTTATCACAACACGCAATTTCCTACTCTTGCGAATGATATCACGCGATCTTTAATATCCATTGTGAACCAGGCAAAGTGTATTTTCACGCTTAATACAAATCCAGGTTTAATCAGAGCAGCTGCTGGATTCCAACCTTGTCTGCAATAAGCGGCGAATGCACTGCCACGAGGTCACATCACTGCTCCTTTAATACTTCACTGACAAATTATGTGGAGCAACCTTAAATCTTCTGCAAAAAGAAATATAAAGCAGTCAGTAGCGTACAATGCTGCCAGTGCTAGTAGTACGACTGTGCCAACACAGTCCCATACATCGTACTTGAATTGCCCCTTGTTGGTGATGAATACAGTCGTGGTTGATGTGACGGAGAGCTGGCAGCCATGCTGCACAGTGCACACCGGGCTACTCGACCCCCCCATCTGCCCCGACCTCTACCTAACCAGGGTCATTCAGAGGCAAGTGCCACGACATGATATCGTCAACCCTCTTCCTCAAAGTCTCCTGTCACCACTTACCACTACGTGAACGAAGGTGTCAATTGCGATAGATTTCTTGTACAATTATTTTTAGGGTTGGATTTGGTCATAGTACAAAAATTCGCACGTTAAGTAAAAATAAATCATAAAACATACTTTTCCTGAAGAAGACCAGCTGGCTGTACTGATGAGATTTTTTTACTCTCTTGGCAACAGACTATTCCTATTGTTACTTTTCTTGATATGTGTTTTTTATGGACGTACACAAGTCAGTTTGGACATTTTGTCAATTATATAAAAAAAACACTGATCTAATGCAAAGCTTATTTTGAAGCTCATTTTCACCAACTGTTAGACTCCTTTGAATCCTGGCTTTGTGCAGTAATCACGTAATGGAATAAGTGCGTTGACGTCAGGGGTGACTTTAAAAGGGTAGTGAGTGCAGCGTGTGTTTTGATATTGCTTCCACAAAATTACGAATACCCTTATGAGTACATTTTAGTTATTCATTAACAAATGTTAAAAACAAATCTTAATTACAATTTTACAAATGGTCATGTTTATTATTGGCACTACGCTCTATAATGCAGTCTCGTTACACTTTAGAAGTTTACAAGAAATTACTCCGTGGCAAAATGGATGGTATTTTCCAATAAATCTGTAGAAAAAGCCATCATATTCAGATTTATTTGACCAAACAAGGGAAGAAGATTAATATTTGATGACGACTATATTCGTGGAGTCACGGACTTACATTTTGGCTTTGAATAGTCAATTGAAAGCAATAATATTTGTAAAACGGGGCTTTGTGCAACTGGTCTTAAGGCTGCTCTTGTCCCTCTACCCTCTTCAGGTGCCTGTCCGTGCCAGTGGCCATGCGAGCAATGAACAGGAAGGCACTTGAGATCCAGGCATCTGCGCCCGAGCTGCAGTCCCGGCCGGAGACTGCGTCAGTGCTGGCCGCCATGGCCTCAAACTTGAGCGCAACGTTGGAGAACCTGGCTCGCCGCTCGCCTGAATGCGTCCCCCCACCTCCAGTTCCCAGTGGCACCCCCCCGATGCACTATAGCAGCACAGCCACCGTACATACATCCACCCCCGAGTTTGCAAATACACAATCTGCCGCATACTCTGGCTCTGCGTGTCCTGCCTTTCCTACCGGCATGCACTCTCACAACCAAAACCATCTTCACCAACAGAGCAAGGCCATCGTTCCCGGAGGGCAACAGCAAGAGTCTTTACTTTCACTTAGTGATGTGGATCTTTGCAAGGTGGCACAAAACCCAATCCTAACGAGCCTCCTACAAGTGACGGGTGGGCTGGGTGTGGCACCTGCTCTGGGCACTCAGCAGCAGCAGCCCCACAATGCGCAAACGCCATCACCGACCTTACCCACCAACACAAAAAACCATCCTATGCTGTTCAACCTACTTAAGGACTTCTCATCTCCTTACTCTGGGTCTGACCGGCCAAGTAGCCACAATACTGCAAGCCCACCCAAATTAGAAGTGTCGGGTAGGGTCTCGAAGTCCAGAAAAAAGTGGCGGTCCCGCTCACACACGTCCCCGAGAGACCAGAATGAAGAGTTTCCAAATGAACTGTGCTCAATGGATATGGAAACAAATACCGAGATATTCGACATAAATGTTGATGGCACGGAAATGGAGCGGCAAGAAAGCGACAGTGGTGGTGACACGGACTTTCCGAGCTCACCTTGTGCTCACAAGCCTGGCTCTCTTGCACATAGCTCCCCGTGTGCACAAAGATCAACGCCACCATTGCCACATGTGCACCTTCCCTTGCCTGGCTTTTCCATAAACTCGCCCCATCCTGCACAGCAGCAGCAGCAGTCAGTCTCCTCCCTGCCTCTACCACCTTACACCAGTAGCCCTCATCCAGCCTTGACATATCCAGGTGTTTCTCAAGCTACCGGACTTCCAAACCAGTTGCAGCAAGGATTGGCCAACATGGTTGCCAATGTACCAGATTTCCTCTCCGAGATACCACTGCGTCCTGTGAGCGACCCCCAAGGAGAATCTGCGCATGTTCCTTCCAGCCACGTCAGACTTTCATCTCCTCTTGGTATTGGTGTTGCCCACCTGCCACTTGATGGGACAGAAAAAGGAAGTAATTTGCTTGCAAAGTGTTTAGCGCAATGTGGGTCAGTGTCAACATGGGATTGGCAAACGGTGAGGGAAAAGGACAGTTGCATGTCTCCTGCAGAAAATGTGCCGAGGACTGAAACCTTACCTCTTGACGCAGAGGGGTTTGAGGGGCCGAGCACAGCCACGACATTCACAGATCCCTCCCAGTTCCTGTCAGGGGCTGGAAGTGGCGGAGATGAAGATTCTCAATCTTTCCCTGAAGCACTCGATTTTAACAGCGACGCACTTAACAATGCAGAACCCGTCGGCAGCTTCATGGACAACTTGCTTGATTCAAACTCTCAAGGCGGTGAGAACGAGGAGAAAGGGCTAGTTTTTGGTGTGTCGGTCACAAAGGCAGAAACGCAAGCATTCACCAGTGCCGATAGCAGCAGTAGGGTGGAGGTGGCCACCGATGGCTCGCAGTCAGCAGTCAGTGTCTCTCACTTGGACTTTAGCACTGCAACGGGTTCAACATCTGGGCAGGAAAGTAAGGTGTCCAATATTTTGTCTGAATCTGCACCCACAGGGCATTTAAAAACGGAGATGACTCAGAGTTCAAAGGATTCTTGCAAGTTAACGGAGAAGTCCGGCACAGCCAGTACAAACAAATCAAACATAGGCAGCATTCAACGTGGTGGCAGCAATTACGATGGAAAAGGAATGAAACGCAGCCGCTCCTCTTTACCTGATGCTAAAGCAAAAGATAAAGTGCTAAAGCACAGGCGCCTGGATGGGGACGGCAAATCCACGTCACACAGCATGGCTACGTGTCGCTCGTTAACTCCACCAGCAAACATTGGCAGTGAAAAGTCACCTTTGGCACTTCCAGGTCGCTCACAGACCCCTCCTGCTAGCTCGGCCCCACGAATCCCAAAACTTACCATCCAACGCTCAGCTGGCGGCTTGACTGTAAGCAAGACTTCACACAGTGGCTCCAGCGGCAGCAGCAAGCCTGGCACTCCACATATCTCTTCCTCCTCACCACTCAGGCAAAATGTAGGCAGTAAAGTCCCCTCTCAGTCTGGTCCAGCTTTTTCCACTGCTACAGCACGGGGGCAGCCTGGAGTGAGACTGACCTCTCAGAGCTCCTCTCCTCGCCAGGGCGGCCCTCAAATTAAAGTCAAAACCAGCAGTGGTGGAGGCAACAGCAAATCAGGCACAGGAAGTTCTGGGAACAAACCTGGTCCCGTATCACATGTAGCCACGGGCAACAATAACGGCAGAGGTTCTGTGTTTGTGTCGTCATCGCATGGGAGCAGCAGGACTGTGCAGATGGCAGGAAAGGGTTTATCCCATTCATTGCCAACAAAGCAAGGTTTCTTGCAGAAGCAAGGCAGCGGGCCCGTAAGCTACGGAGGTGGTAGCAAACTTGTCAAAATGAAACCTATAGTAAAACCCTCTACCTCCGCATCATTGTCTACAAAGCAAACCTCCTCTCCATCCCGATCCAAAATCCCCATGACGTCCGACCACTCTGCTGCTGTGAAACACACCCCTAACATTGCCAAGAGCCCAAAAATCCGTGTGCTCAACACTTCTCCAGCCTCAAGTGCCAATGGTGGCTCAGTTGCGAACCCAGAATCCAAGCCGTTATCTTTTACAACTACATCGCAGCCAATCAAGTCGGGCTTTGCTTCCCAGGTACCAAGTGGGGGGTCCTCACCTGTAATGTCAGTCGGGGGAGGTAGCTCCAGCAAGGTTGCGAAGTCATCAATTCGCCAACGTAAGCCCTCTCTAACAGCTGTGATTGACAAGCTAAAAAACGGGGTCACAGCAACTGGAGCTGGATTGGGAGGGGCAGAAGAATGTGTGGATTCAAAGCCAAGTGAAGATACTGCTCCAAGTTCCTCTCGAGCACAGCCAGCTAATGGTGGCCTTGCACAAACAGTACCGAGCTCTGCACCACAGAGAATTTCACCATTTAACGTTTCTGTCAGCAAATCTGACCCACACAAGCGCAAGGAGGTTGAGAGGGAGGGCAAGTCTAAAGTGGTGCTGGGATCTGCATCTTTGTCGACAGCATCTACTGACGGTCTCAAAAAGACTTTGGAACCAAAGGTCGGGAGTAGTGGCAGCAGCAGTGTTGGGAAGATAATAATCTCAAAGCCTGATGGCGAAGGGTCTCCGAGCATCAAAAACAAACCACCGACTTCAAAATCTGTGGACAGCACCAACCAAGCAACCAAGCAGGGACTGGCGAGTTTGAAACAAGCGTATGGATCACATTTTATTTCTGAAAGTTCTACCCCCAAAATGGACCGGCCCTCGCCGAGTTGCATCAAATCGCCAGCATACCCACAGCCAACAGGTGACAGCTGCAGCGAGTCCGAGTCAAGCTCCACATACGATAGCTTGAGTTCAGAGGATGGAGGTAATTTGCTCATCGACCTGTCGGGAGAGCGACCTTCTAAGAGCAATAAAAAAAGGAGAAACAAAGAAGTGAACCATGCACAAGATCAAGAAAAACTACACCATAGCACACAACCAGAAAACTACCCCAAGTCTCCTCTTCTCAGCGAACAGCCTCCGTTATCCAACCTGTCTTTCAGATCCGGATCTGGTACCTCGCAGCAGCCGAGCCCATGCGTGATAGATGATGATCTTATGAATGAAGCTTTGATTGGCAGCTCTACGTGAAGTTATAAGCTATAGCCTAAGTAAAAGCACTGTGCAAAATCCTTTTTCATCCTACTCTCCAATATTTATGTGGGTAATACTGTGTAGCACTTAAAATGTAAAATAGTTAAATGGAAAAGTCCAACTGATGTTAGGAAGATTTTTATTTTTACACCTTTGGACACTAAGTGTGAAAAGGCCTTGTAAATTAGCTTGGTTTTTAATTAAACCCTGAGCACTTTTGCTAGTTTCCCTATACACATGCAGTAGTTAGGCTTGTTTACATGACAGGCATTTGAGTAGTGAACATGCGTCCTCATTCCAGTACCACTATGCATTGCTGCATGGTTTACAAGGTGTGGTGTGTGAGTTTTCAAGGTTCAGCTGTGTTTAAAAGTTATGCCTCAGTTTGTTGGAAGACAACGTAAAAAAATGTATTTTAATGAATGTTTATATTTGTATGCATAAATAAACTATATTGTAATTACACATAAATTAAAGCTGTTTGTTACTGTGATATAAAACGTCGCAATGTTTTCATATAGATCTGTTTATCGATGCATTTGAGACTTGACATGAGGATTTTCCAATTAATTTTTATTGCTTTTCGCATTTAAACTTGGCACATTTTCAGTGTTAATGTATATTTGATTATATTTATACTCCGAATTTTATGGTAGATATGGCAAATCACACAATTTCAGTTCCAAACTTGCTCGAAACAATTACTGCTTCACAACCTGTCGCCAATAAAAAAAAAGTCCAATGTGGAAAAAAAACACCTGGCTCTTTTCACTCATGCAGTCTTGGAGAGCTGAATGGCAAGAATATCAAAAACACAATGTCCATATAATTTATTTTTTACACTTCAGTATTGTTTAATATGTTAAATTACCACGTGAGAACATTCTATGTTGTCCATTGTCCTATTCGCATTTAATTTCCAATATGTTCACACAAGATCAGTGCAATATTGTCTCGAGTCAGTCCAGCTTGGCCCAGCAGTGCTTCACACCTCTCACGTAGCTGCTGAAACCTGATCTGCAATTCATTCCATCCAACGCTCCCATTGGGGGTGCAATTGTGGACAGATGCCAGCTCGCTTTTACATAAATCCACAGGGTCGCACTCATTTTTGTTCTCTTCAGAGTATGCATCCATGCCTTGTGTCCACGGGGGGTTGGCAAAGCCACTGCCCACAACTGGTGGACAATCCACATCGCGTGCTGTAGATTGTATGTCCATGCTCTCTAGGGCCTCGCCTAGGTCGTCGGTATCCATGGTGCCATCGCACTCTGCACCAACGCACGCCATCATGGCCTGTCCCAACTCGCTAAACGCAGCCTGCAGTTCCTTTAGCTCTCTCCTTGTGTCCGAGGCACCAGCGTTCTGATCGTTCCACGACTCCAGTGCTCTGCAATGTGTACGCATCTTCGATTTGGTAAACAGCACAAAAGGTACACGTACTCTAGAACACAAGCCATCATTACAGCCCGCAACATTGGCGAACTTAAGCGGACTGAGTGCCCCCCCCCCCCACCGCTGAATGCTCAGCTATTGTTTAAAGTTTACATTAAACGTATGCTCCCCCCATCCCATAATTTAAATAGGGTAAAGCTATAGGTATGCATGTGGTCTTTAAATTGATGCAATTGTTTTCAATGACGATTATCAATAATTGTAACATAACTGCATAATGACCATTGTGTTGACCACAATGTGATGAGTTTAGTAGTGATTGCAGAATCAGTGATCTCATTGTGATGGTCAGTGTGATGAATGTTATATGATGATTGAGATCATTACTTTACAATAATGATGTGATCGTGATGATTTACGATTAATGTGTTAGTACTGTGATTGACTACCATATAATCATGACTGAGTATTGTTGAAGACTGACGCACAAAGAAGCATGGAGAGGTGCATGCTTGGAATTATTGAGCCAGAAAGGAACACGTGGATTAGACAACATACGAAAGTTATGGGACAACATGACTTAAGAAAATACAGGGACTCCTCTGCTTACTAACGAGTTAGGCTCCAGAGGTCTGTCCGTAAGTCGATTTTTTCGTAACTCCAACTTGATTTAATTATGTCGTACGCCATGTACACTAAACGCGGGGAATGGCTTGAAAAGTTGTATAATCTCCTGTAAATGCCACTGGTGCTTCATGTGCTGCAAATGTAGATGCCACCACTGCCATATTTGCACGGCGGTTGAACTTATGACTGGACATAGGGCAAGTTTGTTCCCATCTCTGAAAGTTCTTAAGTCGAATGTTCCTAAGTAGAGGAGTCACTGGGAAGTGGGATTGTGTTGGACAAGATTTACAATGAAGTAGCAGCCAAATGATGTCCAAAGTCGAGATGGAGAAATCACAGTAGCTCACATACTTGATGCACCGCAACACCTTCGGACAGCGTCAGATAGCGATGGGGTCGGGAGGCCTTCAAGCAGTGGATTGATCATGACCGATGATGATGATCTGATCGTGATGATGAAGATGACTGCGCGGCGTTTACCGCAGCGCCCCACTCAGCTGCCACGTGTGAAACGCCCTCTCGACCGCCCGGCCGAAGCCCAGGTTGAAGCCGTTCTGCAGGGTGGCCTCCTTGCCTTCCTCCAGGCCAGCCACGTAGCCCTCCTGCAGGGAGTTGAGGGAGGATAGGAGGTGGTGGTGGGGGGTTAGGCAACCACCTGGAAAGGGGGTATGTAGAGCACTGTATAGAATATCAGGGGTGGGGAACCTTTTTTTCTGCCAAGGGCCATTTGGATATTTATAACATAAATCGCGGGCCATACAAAATTATCAACTTAAAAATTAGCCTGTTATATTTGGTCCAACATTTAATTAAGTCACCCCTAATGTGATGGCTGGAACTGCTTCTCTTTGGTGTGTGATGTTAGCTGGTATTGATGATGTTGCTACTCGCAACTGCTTTTCCAGGTTTGCGCCTGCGGTTGCCTTGGCAGGGCCAGACCAAGGGGCTGTCCATAAATGACGTCACGCGATTTTGAACGATTTTTGACCCCCCCCCTCCCTCTAAAAAATATATAAAACATGCTTCAAATCGCTTTACACTATTTTCATTGTAGTGCGTATTTAATGTGGCGCTACACTCTGATGTAGGAGAAAACATTTATTAAAAAGTCTATATAATGAAGTAGAACGTGTTGTCTATGTTTATTTAAAGTTGCGCATTTTGATGTGACGTCACATTTCTCAAACCCCCCCCCCCCCCCCCCAGGTGCGTGACGTCATTTATGGACGTCCCCAAATGATTTCGCGGGCCTTTTACGGCCCGCGGGCCGGACGTTCCCCACCCCTGGTGTAGATGGAGGTTTGGGTTAAATGATGACGTCACCCTGCTGCTCTATTTAAGACCGGGAGCAGGTGGAGGGCTTCACCATTCTGGCAAATTGCCCGATGATGCTGGATGTAATTACCAGCGAAACGTCGTACTCAAAATTGTAAATGATATTGATTCACTCTTAAACACACCGGTGGGCTAAATTAGTGAACTATTTGTGTTTTGTAAACGTAACATACTTTTTACTGTTTGGCCATGTCGGGTGGTGGAGGGTTACAACACATTTATAAATAACACGATCTAACGCAAACACCTTTATTATGAATATATGGAGGTTATGGGTTAGTGCTTGGGACTAGTTGGCTAGTTGGTTAAAGGTTTTGAGGTAGGTATAGTAGTGCTAGTGACTGATCGGCTAAATGGTTAGTTATGAGCCATTGGTCGATATAGTACTCGTGTGGCTGGTTGACGAGTTGATTACGGTTATGGCTGGTCGAGATGCTTGTAGGATTCTGGCTATGGTTAGGGCTAGCACTACTGACTGTCTGGTTGGTTATGGTTAGGGCTAGCACTACTGTCTGGCTGGTTGGTTATGGTTAGGGCGGGCACTACTGTCTGGCTGGTTGGTTATGGTTAGGGCTAGCACTACTGACTGTCTGGCTGGCTAGTTGGTTAGGGCTAGCACTACTGTCTGGCTGGCTAGTTGGTTATGGTTAGGGCTAGCACTACTGACTGGCTGGCTAGTTGGTTAGGGCTAGCACTACTGACTGTCTGGCTGGCTAGTTGGTTATGGTTAGGGCTAGCACTACTGTCTGGCTGGCTAGTTGGTTATGGTTAGGGCTAGCACTACTGACTGTCTGGCTGGCTAGTTGGTTAGGGCTAGCACTACTGTCTGGCTGGCTAGTTGGTTATGGTTAGGGCTAGCACTACTGTCTGGCTGGCTAGTTGGTTATGGCTAGCACTACTGTCAGGCTGGCTAGTTGGTTATGGTTAGGGCTAGCACTACTGACTGTCTGGTTGGTTATGGTTAGGGCTAGCACTACTGACTGTCTGGCTAGTTGGTTAGGGCTAGCACGACTGTCTGGCTCGATAGTTAGTTATGGTTGGAGTGAGCATGACTGTCTGGCTAATTAGTGAAGGTTTAGGGCTCATACTACTGACTGGCTGGCTGGTTGGTTTTGGTTAGAATGACTTGTCTGTCTGGCTGGCTAGTTGGTTAGAATGATTTGTCTGTCTGTCTAAGTTAGATTGACTTGTCTGTCTGGCTGGCTAGTTGGTTAGAATGACTTGTCTGGCTGGCTGGCTAGGTTAGAATGACTTGTCTGTCTGGCTAGTTGGTTAGAATGACTTGTCTGGCTGGCTAGGTTAGAATGACTTGTCTGTCTGGCTAGGTTAGAATGACTTGTCTGGCTGGCTAGCTAGTTGGTTAGAATGACTTGTCTGTCTGGCTGGCTAGTTGGTTAGAATGACTTGTCTGTCTGTTTGGCTAAGTTAGAATGACTTGTCTGTCTGGCTGGCTAACTAGTTGGTTGGAATGGCTTGTCTGTCTGGCTGGCTAGTTGGTTAGAATGGCTTGTCTGGCTGGCTAGTTGGTTAGAATGACTTGTCTGGCTGGCTAGGTTAGAATGACTTGTCTGGCTGGCTAGTTGGTTAGAATGACTTGTCTGGCTGGCTGGCTAGTAGGTTAGAATGACTTGTCTGTCTGTCTGGCTGGCAAGTTGGTTAGAATGACTTGTCTGTCTGGCTAGTTGGTTAGAATGACTTGTCTATCTGGCTGGCTAGTTGGTTAGAATGACTTGTCTGTCTGGCTGGCTAGGTTAGAATGACTTGTCTGTCTGGCTAGCTAGTTGGTTAGAATGACTTGTCTGTCTGGCTAGGTTAGAATGACTTGTCTGTCTGGCTGGCTAGGTTAGAATGACTTGTCTGTCTGTCTGGCTAGGTTAGAATGACTTGTCTGGCTGGCTAGCTAGTAGGTTAGAATGACTTGTCTGGCTGGGTAGTTGGTTAGAATGACTTGTCTGTCTGGCTAGTTGGTTATAATGACTTGTCTGGCTGGCTAGCTAGTTGGTTAGAATGACTTGTCTGTCTGGCTAGGTTAGAATGACTTGTCTGTCTGTCTGTCTGGCTAGGTTAGAATGACTTGTCTGGCTGGCTAGCTAGTAGGTTAGAATGACTTGTCTGTCTGTCTGGCTAGGTTAGAATGACTTGTCTGGCTGGCTAGTAGGTTAGAATGACTTGTCTGGCTGGCTAGTTGGTTAGAATGACTTGTCTGTCTGTCTGGCTAGTTGGTTAGAATGACTTGTCTGTCTGGCTAGGTTAGAATGACTTGTCTGTCTGTCTGGCTAGGTTAGAATGACTTGTCTGTCTGTCTGGCTAAGTTAGAATGACTTGTCTGGCTGGCTGGCTAGGTTAGAATGACTTGTCTGGCTGGCTAGGTTAGGATTAGAATGACTTGTCTGGCTGGCTGGCTAGTAGGTTAGAATGACTTGTCTGTCTGTCTGGCTAGGTTAGAATGACTTGTCTGTCTGCCTGGCTAAGTTAGAATGACTTGTCTGGCTGTCTGTCTGGCTGGCTAAGTTAGAATGACTTGTCTGGCTGTCTGTCTGGCTGGCTAAGTTAGAATGACTTGTATGGCTGGCTAGGTTAGAATGACTTGTCTGGCTGGCTAGGTTAGAATGACTTGTCTGGCTGGCTAAGTTAGAATGACTTGTCTGGCTGGCTAAGTTAGAATGACTTGTCTGGCTGGCTAAGTTAGAATGACTTGTCTGGCTGGCTAAGTTAGAATGACTTGTCTGGCTGGCTAAGTTAGAATGACTTGTCTGGCTGGCTAGGTTAGAATGACGTGTCTGGCTGGCTAAGTTAGAATGACTTGTCTGGCTGGCTAAGTTAGAATGACTTGTCTGGCTGGCTAAGTTAGAATGACTTGTCTGGCTGTCTGGCGAGTTGGTTATGGTTAGAAATCGTGTCTAGCCGGCTAAGGCTCGCGTACTCCGCTGTCTCTGCGTTCCCTCCCCGCTCCACGTCCCTTCGGCCACGCACTCTCCACCACCCCCCCCTGCTGGGCGGCTGAGCCACGCGGCTTTCACCCGGTGGGAAAGCGACCCGGGCAACGTCCTTCGTCGCCAGGCATCTTGACGACGATGGCCCGGGCGACGAGACGAGGGAGTCGCTGATGGGAGTCTCGCCGCGAGGTGTACACGGGGGAGGAAGGACACCACCCCACCCCGCTCCCCTTCCTCACCTTCTCTCTCTTCGCCATGAGGCCTCGCCACTCCAATAGCCTCAGGTCCCGCTCGTCTCCCTCTTCATCGAACACGGGGTCCTCCTCGGCCTCTGGGGTCCCGGACTGCCGCGTCCAAGCCATGGATGGGGGACGCTGGGAGGGGGGGGGGCAGAAGCAACACCGGGATCCGCTTGGATTTGCGGGGATAGCGGAGGGACGAGGGAGGAGTGTTGTCTGCGTTGCCTGTGTGTGGTGGCGTTGTCGTGGTGTGCGGCTTTGTGGAGCTGTCACGAAACGCGGCTCATTCATAAACAGCGACACCACGTGGAGTGGAGTGAGCACCGCGCGCGAGAACACGTGGCCGATTTGGATGCTTACATAGGCACGCGATACATCTTTACATCCCAGTGTTTACCATTCTTCGGCCAAGGGAAACCCCATTGGAGGATTGAAGGCCTTTCCAATTCCCCAACAATTCTCCCAAAATCTTGCGATGTAATAATTATCCAATTTCACCGCTCCATCTCCTCCAAGGCCGGTTAAAATTATCTCCCACGCGCTCCCGTTCCTTGGCCGTCATTCCGAGATGAATCTTGTTGACCATCTGCCAATCATATCTAGCGACACAGCCCAAGCTCTCCATCTATGTTCTGAACAGTTATACTTGCTGTCCTTAACCTGCATGCCTTCTAATCCATGCGCTGGGTTGTATGTTAACGTAGTCCCAAGCACGCATCATGTTTCTTTACACGCTTTGGTGAGTTTTTTGTTGGATTCTCTTCGTGAGTGACGAATTTTTACGATCAATGTCATAGCTGCATGCATGGTACCACACACATCACTCGGGACATGTACAGGTACAACACATGTTGATTACAACACACAGCGACACCACGTGGAGTGATCCGTGCATGCACCACATTCGCAATGTTGGTTAACCCGACCTACAGGACGTACAAATAACACAACACTCACCGTACATATGCAACGTGTGTACGTACACATTTACACCGTAATCATAAACGCAGCGACACGACACCACGTGGAGTGGTGTGTACCTACCGAGTGAAAAACACAAACCACACATGCACAATCCCAGTAAACATGCCTCCGTTTGCTGGCCCAACGTTGGGCATGCGGTTCGAATCGTTGGTCCCAACGTTGGCCCCAACGTCCCAGATGTACTGGGTCGTTCTCACACCCGTTCAGCAAGCACCACGTGGATTGTCGCGAGTAGGAAACCCTTCGCAAACATCATGCTTACAACACAACATTACACAGCGACCACATAGGATGGCTGAATTTGTTTTGTCATCTTCTGTGACAATAGTATTATCCAATATACAGCATTTAATTGGCTCTCAAGCCTTCAGTTTCAAACAACACGAGGAAGGACCTTCTGTGAATGATGATAAACTCAGCAGACAGAAATGTGAACCAATTGTAAAAAATCCCACCTCACAAGCTACATCACTAATCATACAATAATGTAAAGTAAAATGTACAGATGTTTTTGGATTAGATCGCGTAAATATATCAATGTGTCGTTAAACCCGCCACCACCCGACACAGCCAATTAGTAAGGTTTGACACGTAAACAGAACGTGGCCAATTCGGTATTAGTACAGCAACACCGGTGTGTTGGAGAGCAAAGCCACAAACATTTACAATCTGAGCACGACGTTTCGCCAGTAATTACAACTAGCTGCATCAGGCGACAGCCAGATGCGTGGAGAAATCCTCCTCCTATTCTTGGTTCTTTCGGTAAAGTCACGTAGCTGTGGATTTCACACCTGATGATGATTGCTTGTGTTGCAGTCGAAACGTCGTGACAATTTTACTGTTTTATATTTTTATTATTTTATTGTTTCCCTTCTACGTGACTTTACCGAAAGAACTAAGAATATGAATCCCTGCAGTCACGAAAGCTTTAAATTAAAATCCTCCTCCTGTTTCGTTCCTTCCTGCACAAATGTGGCTGTCGCCTAAATCACTGCAAGCCCCCGGGGGAATCTCTTCTCTGCGTGTGTCCTCGATTAAAGTAAAATAAATGTTAAAGATATAAGTCACGTAGATAGAAAATACAAATAAAATGTCAATTAAAATAATATTTTTTGTATCTATTTTTTAATTTATTTAAAATTTTATTTTCTAATAAAAAAAACGAAAATATAAATTGAAATAATATTTTTTAAATATATTTTTTATTTATTTTGAATTTTATAATAACAAAAAATAAAATGTAAATTAAAAATATATATTTGTAAAAATCTACTTTTAATTATTGCTTAATTTCATTTTCGATGTCCGTGACTTTACGGTAAAAAGAACGGAGGAAATGAATTTCCTAGCGGTCACGAAAGTTTCGAGTGGAAGATTCGCGGCCCTCGGCGAGTTGTGTCATCTTCTTTGGTTCTTTCGGTAAAGTCACGTAGAATGAGAATAAAATAATAAATTGATAAAATAAAATAACACAATAATATTCTCACGACGTTTCGGCCACAACAAAAAGCGGCCTTCATGAGAATATTATTGTGTTATTTTATTTTATCAATTTATAATTTTATTCTCATTCTACGTGACTTTACCGAAAGAACCAAAGAAGATGAATCATTGCAGTCACGAAAGCTTTAAATCGAAATTTAACCGCCTCTACGGGGAGGGATTCCACACATCCTTAAGATCATTCAACAGACTTCGGGATAAGAAGGCTCAACTAATCGAGTCTCTCACCTTTCTGAAGAGATGCCGCGACTCTAAGGCTCTTTGTTCCTCTCACACAGCTTAAAAGCCGTGATCTGAACGTGGCTCTCTCACTCCAGCGCTGTCCTACCAGACAGTCTCGCCCCCTTCACCTGATGAAGGCCGCTTGTGTTGTGGCCGAAACGTCGTGAGAATATTATTGTGTTATTTTATTTTATCAATTTATTATTTTATTCTCATTCTACGTGACTTTACCGAAAGAACCAAAGAAGATGAATCATTGCAGTCACGAAAGCTTTAAATCGAAATTTAGAGTTGTGTCATTTTGTCGCCCTCTAGTGGCCGGCGCCAGAGCGGCATCGTCGCTCTCGAGCGGGGTCCCAGAGCCGGACGACGACGCCGCCGCGGAGGGCGGAGGAGCAGAGGGGAGGGAGCGGCACGGCCGCCGTGTTTCGTGCCGCTGCCCCCCACCACCACAACCACTACTACTACCCACCACCACTACTACTACCCCCCACCACCACTACTACTACTACCCCCCACCACCACCACTCGAGGTAAGCACGAGGAGCAGTCGTCGCTTGAGCCGTGCTTGTCACGGTGCCGTGGGGAGCGGTGGCGCAGCGGTTCACGGCCGCACCCCCCCGCCCCCCTCTACACACACAGACACACAGAGACACACACACAGACACACACAGACACACAGACACAGACCGACTCGGCTTGGTGCGGTGTGTCAGTAACACATCGCCACTCGAGGGAGACAAAGGCGGCCGGGCGTGGTGGCTTGGACACCCACCCGCCCGCGCGTGTGCCGTGCCGGCCTTCGTAGGTGCTCGCGATAACAACACTTGCCCCTACAGTCTGTCAAAGTTTAATGGGGGTGGAGGAGGGGGTTATTGTTGTTGTGTTGTTGTTGTGTTGCGTTCAGCTTTAACATAGAAGCAGTGGAGATGATGAGGTGAGGGGGGGGGGGTCCGATGGGGTGACGGGGGGGGGGACCTCGGGTAGCGATGGGTGGCGCAGCGGTTAGCGCACTGAGACGTCGTCAACTCGAGGGGGTGGGGGGGGAGGCTTCTTCCCGACCACCTCGAACAAGAACGTCGGTGGCGATCGACATCCGTGAATCCCTGTCGCCGTGAGCTGCCTCAGTCACACAACCCGCGGTGACCCGCGAGGTGAAGTATGGTCAAAGCACCCGCAACGGAACCCGCACGCCGTGGGGGCCCAGGCCCTTCACTATTCGGCAAGTGGATCGAGAAAAAGGTTGTGCACATTGGTGATGATGGTGATGATTATTGTTGTTGTTATCACTGGGTCCGTCTGCTTCTAGCTGCGTGAATGTTTTGCGTAGTAATCTCGGTGCTGTTATCCGCGGGGTTTTTTGTTGTTGTTTTACGATCGCTACCAACTTTGGCTCGAACTCGAGAGCGGGAGGCAAAGCGACTCTGCGTGTGGTGGTGGTGAAGGTGATGATGATGGCAAGGTTGTTGTGTACAGTGACGAGACTTTTAAAGTACCCCGTTTGTACGTAATGTTTAATAATACTGAAGTATTATATAATACATTCCTGTCAACCCCTTATCAGTGCGCTACCTTATTACAGACCAATTCAGACACCTTATTGGTCACCCCGTGCCCCTTACTAATCTCAAAGTTCATCCTGCAAAGTCCCATCACAAGGGATAAACACAAACTAATCGACATAAAAACCATGCTTCTTTGCCCCTATTGAAACGGCTGGACGCGGTGTGGACCTGAAAACTCAATTTCCCTGTACAAGAATGCGGATAAACCTTATGGGTTGACAACGGTATGTATAAGAATGTTTGGCTCGGGTATAGTGAATCATTTATTACCCTAGAAGACACTTTGGCAGTAAGGTGTGGGCAGAATACAGTTGTGTAGGTTATGTAATGGTGATAATACAATACGCGTAATGATTTATTTTTGTTTACCTACGAAAGCCTGAACCGGTTCTTCAAGATTAGTCTTCAAGAGGAGGGGGTGTCCTGCTTCATTGTGATGTTTGGACACAATCCATTGGTGAGAGTCTGCCCACAGCTGGCGATGGAGCATCCAGAGAACGCGTACGAGGAGGTAACGCTCACGCACCCGCACAGATTGATTCAACAATCCATCGATGTTGGGCACTGCCATCCCCTGGCCACTTTGTATATACATACGCGATTATACAATACCGTACGGGTCTCGTGTTTGTTTCTCGGCTGGGTGACAGCTGAGGAGTCAACAGTTGCCGCCTTACGCGACTCTATTATTTAGTAATCTATTTGTTTTGTGGTTTGTTTTACGATCTACCCGTAGTCACATCTGTAAGGAGAGTGCGGCCTCGCCCGATAAGTTATCGAATCACTTTATCCAAGTAAGTTAAACGGCCTTTGATGTATGTCCTCTATGTTGACCTTCTTTCGCACCGTACTTCGGGGGAAGGACAACAAACTAAACGATCGATCCACTGCTGGATGATTAAGGCCCTCCCCACGCCTTCCCAGACTAATCAACGTTGCGTTTTGGGTAATAATTGATAGAAAGGTGTTAAAACGCAAAGGCTCTTTTGATCCTCGGTGTCCCTTGTACCATACAGTAGATGCGATCTGATCCATGTGATTCCCTTTTTGTCTCTCAGTGTTCAGTACTGTAATATTATTCAAATAAATTCACCTCTCCATGCTTCTTTGCACACTTTTCAACTTGTTCCATTTTCGTTGTCAATGGCCATGATCCTTGGTGTTGTCGTAGATCATCGTAGACAGATGAAAAATGTGTTCGGCACATTGGCGTGTTGCTTTTAATGTCTATTCACACAAAAATGTATCTTCATCGAAAATGTTATACTTTTACATTTCACTCTGAATTCTTGAAATGTCTATTACTCATTTATTCTCATTTGTTAAATGTTCAATTTCACAATGATAGGGTTAACTCATTCAGATGCTTTGACCGTTTAAATGATTTACGTAGGTCCAAGCTTAGTAAACATGGAATGTTGGGAAAACGTTGGTCTAACGCTGCCAATGTTGCATGCTTACTGGGTGTCTCCCTTAAAAAAAACTTTTGATCTCACTGAAGTTTGTGCATTTTCACCAATCTCTAGATCCGCGTTTAGTGGTGGTGGCGGCGGCCTTGGGAACCATGCTGCAGGAGCTTGGGACGCCAACTTCCCTGTGCTGGGAGGTGGTGGGCCCTGCAGAAGGGGACGCGGGGCTACCCACTCACCGCAGTAAACATGCGTGCACCACCTGGAAGGGCCTACTCTACGTGCACGGGGGCAGAGATGCGCGCCACTCACTCGCAGACCTCTGGCAGTACGAGCCAGGTATTTGTGCTGTTATCGTGATCGCATTTGCTCAATGAAAGTCCTTATTGTCCCAATCCAAATCGTGGGAGGTACTGTATTTAGGATTCAGAATATCTATTTATGCTGGAGGAATCCGATGGGCTATAAAGCGCTTTTTCACAAATGTCCAATAATTTCACAGATGTCCAGTAGTATTGTAAGAGGACAGGGGTAGCAACAATAGCAACCTGTGGAAGGAAGGCTGTACCTATGGGAAAAGACCTAGTGAGCACAGAAGTATAACTGAAATGTGGAAGGATAAATGTGGACAAATAGGCATGATGCTACTGTGGTGTAATGGTTGGCACACTGCCCTTGCAATCCACATGTCACCGTTTGATCTCGTGGCACCGCAGTTGAAACAAGAGTGCAAATTTCCAAATTCCCCCCCCCCCACACCTCTGTCCACCCAGTACACTACAGTTCGTCGATTAGAAGGTTGCATTGCTGTTGGGTAAAGTGTGGGTCCTCCCACCTCTTCCAAAATGTCCGGCCAGCAGGGTTGAATAGGTCAGATACCCTTTAGAAGGGATGTACAGAGCTTTCATGTGCAGGCCTTTCCTCCAATCGTGGCATGAGCAAGCAAATGCAGGGCTGTATGATATTTTCGTTGGGCACATTGTGAGAGGACAGGGCTGTCTGCTGAAGTACTGGAAGGAAGAATGGATGGGAGAACACCGATTGGAGACAGACGAAAAGTATTGCTAGATGAGTAGAAATAGTTGAAACGTGGACATTAAAAGGAAAGGGTAAAATGTTATGGAATGGTAAAGTACAAATATTTTTTGAGCCCCAAACCTGCCTTGAGGCCAACAATTATTGATTTAAGCAGAGGCTCTAGGTCTTTAATGGAAAGCGCCAAAACGTCTGCAGACATCATGCTTGCAAGGCATCCAGAGCACGTGTGTAGTCGTTGATTCTGAATGGTATTTTTCATCCTGTTCTCCTCTGTGACTGTTTCCCCCTGTTTGTTTTGCCTTTTGAGATGCAGGCTAAAGTAAGGGTAGTAACTGAGAGCTGACAGGTTTCTTAAATTGAGAAGGGTGATATGAAATTGCAAGTAGAGCTGAAGGGAGTTGCAAAACTAAGTTATGTGAGGAAAGTAAGAGGAGGAGGAATGCCACATCTTGCTGTGAAGCAGCTGCCCACAGTACGGATGACAGGAGTTCTAGAAAATAATTCTGTACACTTGATTTGCATCTACACTCTTAACGGGTTTGCGCAGCACGCTAACCATGAAAGAAAATTCCTTTGTGGAACATGATAAATTTGACTTCAAATAATGATAAATTTAAATCCTTGACTTCAAATCTAATTGAATTGAATAACCTTTTGCCTCTGAAATTATATTTCGCTATTCATAAACTGCAGTCATAAGCTTATGATGGTTGTGGTTAATATGTTTGGCATGTGTGTCTCGACTGACCTAGGTAAAAACATGTGGCAGAGGCTAGATGAACGTACGCAGGCATTTGCGGCGCCGGCTTTGCATGAACACACTATGGTGGCAGCACAGGTAAGGTATCAGCACAGCCACATGGTCATACATACGGATTAAATCTGTTTACCAATTTGGCTCATTGCATCTGAGAAATACTATATCGCAAAACAAAAATCCTTGTCTTTTCACACAAATGCAAGCAGAGGTCATGCAGTGTTTATAACATTTTGCCTCTGGTCATATATTCAGATGCACTCGATTTGGTTGTGGTGGTGCATGCCTATAATTCAGTGCTTTGGAGGCAAGGGTCAGAGAAACTGAGAGATTTTGAAACTCCAAAACCCATTGGTCTTTGAGTTGGCCAGCAGATGGCGGTACAACAAATGGGTTCGTTAGCCATCTGTGTGGACCTTTGAGACATCTTTTTTAGATGCATATGCAATTTCTAAGTACTCGCGTATCCTCTCACATATAAAACACTACTTAAAATGGAACTGGACAAACATCCCAATGCTGGGGCCTTGTGAAAAAGAGGTCTGAGATTCACTATTTTTTGGGGAAATATTTTTTATAAACATTTCCAAAATGCGTATATCGAAATTGCCTATGCAATTGCACATTGCCCCTTCACGATTCAGTACATTGTCCCTAATCAATAAAATATATTTCTTTCAACATTGCAATGAATACAGCTTAACAGCGTGCAGTGGCTGGAAGTAAATCAAAACATAAAATACGAATCGATAAAGATTGAATCTTACACAGTTCATCAAATGCATACATCATGAGGCTCAGAATTTATATTAATCGATGAACAGATACATCGTGAGACCATCGCATCTGTTGTGAATCCCACTCATTGTATTACTTTACATTTGTGTTGCCACTTGTACAAATGCTGAGCATTGCTATATGACTATAATGAATGATTTTCTCTAAATTACAGGGCCACCTTTACCTGTTTGGTGGATTACTATGCGATACTGACCATACGCCTCTGTGGGACTACAACATCAGTAAGTTTGAATACATTTATCTCTTAAACAAATGCAAAATCAGTAAAATCTGCATTTTCTTAACATGTGACAACCATCACCATCTCAGGGCACTCTCAGATCACATGGCCATGTTTTCAGAAAGCGCTTTACATTACCCCATTTGGGCAGAGATTTTTTTTCAGAAAAACATTTGTCCAAAGTTACTTGCATTTGTGCCATTTTATTTTGAAGCTCTATGCTGCAGGCTTATTATTTTTCTAAGCCTGAGGGTCTCTGCTATTATAAACATTTGGGCCACAACTGACATTAAGGGAAAATCACAGTTTTACAGTTATTGCCATTCATGTTAGAGAATTGTACTCAAAATATGTTTTGTTGTGTTCATATCTGCAGATGAGTGTTGTTGGGAAGAATTTAGAGGAACTGACTTGAAAGCTCAGGTAAGGGCAGTTCGTCTCTAGTCGATGCAGTCGCTTTTTTGGCCAGTGCAGGCATTCGTACTTCACTGAACTTTTAAAGTATTATTTGTATCCCAAACAAACAACCATTTCTTCTTTATACAACAAAGTCGGAAGCCATTTCAACAATGTGTCTATTTTTTATGTATATATGCATGTTGAACTTCTTACCTGGGGTAAAACTGAAGCGTTTGAAATATTTGAACGAGCACTAATGCATACCATTACATTACAGTCAGACTATAATACAAATGTAATGGGTAGTATAAATGCTAAAATATGGGATCATTGGACTGGGATATTGTGGACTTTGAATGTTCCATTTTGGTGACCGAATACAAAGACATATCAAGATGCTTTACATTCTAGAGCTTAACAAAAAATATAAACATTGTGTCTCAAAAATAATTCAGATATACACAGTAGCTAGGGTGTAACCATATATTATAAACTATACATTGTGGTGTCATGTAATAAATATAAAAATTGTATTTCATTAAGACATTTTGGACAAATGTGGGGACAAATAAAATAAACACGAAATGGAGGTGATGCCCAGGGCCAATGAGACCGGGACAGGTACAACAGCCTCTCTTGATTTATTGGTTGAGCATTTGCAAGGGCTGTGTGGTGTATCCACTGGTAGGTGTGTGGCCTGTGCACAAGCCGCGAGTCGTGCTGGCCACACCGCCACCAACCTATGCCGTGCCGGCCATCCATAGTTGCTAGCTAAGAGCACTTGCCTCAAAAGTGTTTGAGGCTGCACAAGGGATCTTTTATCTTTGTGATTTAGGCAGCCCCGCAGAACCGGCGTGACCACACGGCGGTGGTTCACCGTGCAGGCATGTACGTTTACGGTGGACACCGTGACATGATGGGGCCGACAAACGAGTTCTGGGAACTTGACTTGGGTAAGAGGCTTGAGAGAAACAGTGTTGTGCTTGCTCAACATAAAATACAATGCTTTAGAGAAGTAGTACTGCACGAACAACATAGCTGTGGTTGTCATCAGTGCATTGCTATTTTATAGAAATGACATTCTATTACATAATTGATTCACGTCACCGTAACGTGGCTTAAAAAAAAATCCAGCCACAGCTGAGGGAAAATTATCTCCATATTAATTTAATATTTTGATTATACATTACATTACAATATTCTGCATTCTGATATACTGTTCATAAACAACGTTAGTTAAAATAAGTTAAGCCTTGTGCCTATATGTAAGTGCAAATCAAGGGTACATATTTGCATTGGCCACATGTCTCTCATGTGTTGACCCCATGACGTCACGACTGGTTTTGAGAGTGGGCCCGTTAAAGGCATGTATCTCCCTTCAGCAAAGCGAGGCACACAGGCTCGTTTAAGCCAGCTATTTGGGCCTGTTAAATTGGCTTGGGCCAATAATAACACTTTTTCCACTGTACAAATTAGTCGTGCTGCACCCGGGCCCAGGTTGATTTCCAAGCTGTGCCATTGACAGTGTACGCCACGAACACATCGAGTCACGTGTAGATGATGTGGTAATGTTATATTTAAGTGTACTGGACTAACGTCAGATGCAATGAATGCCTTATCAGCCCAGCCCCGCGTCGTACTCAGATCTTAACCAGATTTAAATGTCTTGAGAGGGCAGCATATCATGGTTTAGATTCGGCTCGGCATGGCCAATAGGCTCTGGCAATCACCTGTACCGTGAAGGACCCACGCTTGCTCGGCTCGGATGTGCCAGTGGAAAAGAGGCACAGTATTGGATTGCTGTGGAAACTCAAGACTAACCCCTTTTCCAAATTGTTTGCAAATTGGGTCAGCTCACTTCCAAGTGGCCGTGGGAACATGGCATGCGATACTCAGATGTACAGGGCTGTCTGGGCATGATCGGTCGTGTGGGCACAGAGAGCCGTGTGTGGCGATGCCGCTCAACGGAAGAGGCGAAGGGCAATGGGGGCAGCCCTGGGCAGAGGTGCGCCCACTCGGCGACCTGCTGGCGCGACCGCATGTTCGTGTACGGCGGCCTCGAGCGCCTGCGTGTTCTTGATGACTTCTGGGCATGGGACTTCACTGCAGAGTACTGGATGAGGCTGACGGCCAGGTACAGTGAATCTGTGAATCGAAACCCGTCTTTATGCATCACACTAACTGTGTTAATGAATGTTCAGTGCATTATATTAAAATATGTGAACAAGATTTTCATAGGAATTAGTTTTTCAAAGCAATCAATTCAATTATTGAAATGGATTCTTACACGATTACAATACTTGCATCGAATCATGTGTGTGGTAATGATTCATGATATATACGCGACGTATACGGGAATTATACAACAATGTAACATTCATGAGAATAAAGTAAACAAAATAGTACAAAAATAGATAAAAATAAAAGCAATATAAAAAAGACAGTAAAAATGCCATTAAAAAAACAATAGATTGTCATCCTAAATTGTTAAATTAACTTGCTTGGCAGTGTGTCATTACATGCTTACCATGTGTACTTATAAATGCTACCTATATGCCTGGGCTTCTCTGGATAATCCCACTTCCCTCCTAATATTAAAATATCCAACCAGTAATTGTTCAGACATTACAATGCAGAACCTTGCACCAAAAGTATTAAAAGTCAGTTATTTTGCAATTTACAAATTATGTTGTTCATAATGTTATACTACAAAATCAAGAGTCTAATGCTTCTTTATGCAATTGTATCCCAACGTCCATGCATGTGCGTGTACACGTATCTATGTGTGTGGGTGCATCATGCACCAGGTCTGATCCAGGCCAGCTGCACCATCACGCAATGTGCATGATTGGTGGATGTGACGGCGGTGCGCTGTTCCTCTTTGGTGGTAAGAGCAACAGCCGTGTCATGGGCGATGCATGGCTCTACCGCTTCAAGGAGGGTGCCTGGAGAAAGGTGCGGACAACTCCTAATGAAGAGCTTCCTCCTAACATGGCCCAGCATGCTCTGGTGTCTTTCTTCGACCGAGATCCGAATGGCAACGGGTCATCCTGGAACATCTCTACCACGAGTTACGAGTGTCGGGCTTTCGATCCAGATAGCGTGTGGGAGCACGAGTGGTTGGACCTGGCAGGAGCTTTTTCATTTGTGGACATGGCTGAGTGTGGAGGGCAACACGTTAAGAAATCCACAAACGGCTTACCGAGTAATGGCAGAGCCAAATCTGTCAGTTATGGCTTTTTTTATTACCCCCCAGAGTGGGATTCATCCAAAATCAACGATGGTGAACGGATGACCCATAGAGGTGCCAAACACTCGACTGCTCGCCAAAATATGCTACGTACTCTCTCTACATCAGAAGAAGATGGAAAAAGTGTGCACTGCTCAGGGATATCATTGAGCAATGAAAAGCAGCTCAAAACGCCAAAGACAGTCGGTGAGAACCTGTCTCTCCGGGACGGCAAAGGTGTGGGAACTTTGGCCTATGGAAGTGAGATTGGAGATCTCACAGGTGGCACTGTTCGGAAAATGGAGATGCTGCTGATTGGGGGGATTCATGACACAGGGACTGGAAGCATCTCTGCCAAACCCATCTTCATGGGAAGATTTAAAATATGCTAGCCCACTATGTTCTATTCCCAAGGCAAAATATGTAGCATTTTATAACTATTAATCCTCACATTAAGCGGTTTACAGTTGAAAGTGCCACCGATGTTATACAAATTCAGAATGGCTGCTGACATGAAAGTCCAATACTGATGTTTTAAAACTTATTTTTAAATATAAATAGGGTATTAGCACTTCAAGGTTTCATATCTTAATAAAGCCATGCATATATGGGGCTTGGCTTTATTTTTTGTTACAAATAAACTGAAAAAAATATATATATATTATTACTCTACGTTCTCTTAACTTATCGCAGTACTGTTGTATATATTGTATAATAAACGTAAAGCCATCCAGTTGCACATACAACTAAATGTATTTGTTCAATTGTAAACATTGCATTGGGCTGGGCATGATGGCAGATGGTCAAGAAAATTACGTAAGTAGCGGTCAAGGGGTGGAGGGGTGGGGTTTAGGGGTGGGGTTTAGCGGTGGAAGGGCTGGGTTTATTTTATTTTATCAATTTATTATTTTATTCTCATTCTACGTGACTTTACCGAAAGAACCAAAGAAGATGAATCCTTGCAGTCACGAAAGCTTTAAATCGAAATAGAAGGGCGGGGTTTATGGATGAAGGGGCGGGTTTTATAGGCGGGATGAAGGGGGCGGACGGACGGGGTTTAAAGGCGGAGGGCGGGGGTTCGGGATGGAGGGGCGTGGTTTAGCAGCGGACGGACGGGTTTAAAGGTGAATGGGCGGGGTTTAGGCGTGGATGGGCGGGCTTTAAGCGTGGATGGGCGGGCTTTAAGCGTGGATGGGCGGGCTTTAAGCGTGGATGGGCGGGCTTTAAGCGTGGATGGGCGGGCTTTAAGCGTGGATGGGCGGGCTTTAAGCGTGGATGGGCGGGCTTTAAGCGTGGATGGGCGGGCTTTAAGCGTGGATGGGCGGGCTTTAAGCGTGGATGGGCGGGCTTTAAGCGTGGATGGGCGGGCTTTGTCCCGCGTCGCGTGGGCTCGTTCGCGCATGCGCAGCGAGGCGTTTGTAAGAACACGTCACGAGTGCGGCCCGGTGAGAAGGAGACGCAGGGACTCGGGCCAGGTGAGGTTGTTGCGGCGGACCCCGCACGCTGCCTTAAGGGACAGGGGGCTTGGGTCAAGGGTTAGCGCCATGGCCAAAGAGGTTTGTGTTCGAGTTAAAGACTTTGGGTTGATTAAGGGTTTAGGTTAGGCCCAAGGATGTGACTGTATACGTAGTACACGTATGCGTTTGAAGGGTTACGGAGTTCGTGTTTGGCCCGGGTTATCACGAGGACCCCGAGGGTACGCGGCGGTCTCGGCCACTCACTTTGTTAACATCTTCGTCCCATCGTTGTGATCAAGAACGCCATCCCCACCGGCGTCGTGATCAACATCGGTGTCATCGATCCCATCGATAATGGTGTTAACATCGCTCCCTACGCGGTCATCATAATCACTGATCCCACACCGTCATTACCTTCAACACTACCTCACGGTTTTCGTTATATCATCACCCCCCAGCATTGACATAGTTATGATCATTCATTATTATCGCCGTGTCATTAATCATCACCTTCATTAACATGACTAGCATCGACATGAAGTTTTTGTTATTTTGACTGTCGTCGCCTCAGCCATGTGATGGGATCGCGCAACTTGAGTGAGGTTGCTGATCAATCAAGACAGCCACGACTTGTATCTAAACCCTCGTCGTACTGGAGCGCGATGGCTGTGGGAATTGGGATTCGTGCGGTGTTTTTATTTGTTGTTCTTGTGTGTGGTGATAATGATGATGGTTGCGGTAATGATGACTAGGGCTGATGATGGCGATGACTACGAAAATGATGATGCTCATGGTAATGGTGGCTGAAGTGGTAATGGGTTTTTTTTGTACCGATCTTCCTGTCCTGGCTTAACGTAACAACCGTTGACGATGTAACGATTTGGTATTCTTGGTCTTGAATAGTGTGCAAACATCGACGCTCCTGTGTCTCGTGTGATGTATATAGAATACATTTCCGTGGCTTTGCGAGTACAATACGCGATATTAATCATGTGAAAAGAATCGATTCCTTTGCACGCGATTCTATAGCTGTATAGTCATCGACGGAGTCGTAGAATCGATTCACCCGTCGTAAGCATGTGCCACGTGGCACGCGTAGATTCACTGTGCGGATGCATTTACTGTTTAATTATAGCAAAGAAAACCTCTTACATAACATTCATCCAAGATTTTGAAAAATATGAAACAAACTTTAAACTTGATAGTTAAAAAGTAAAGCTTTTGTCAAGTATTAGTGTAATCGTGTCCAGAGTGGGTGTGGTGGTTTCTGGAGCGTTAGTGATGATTGGACATTAACATTTAGCTCCCCGAAGTCCCTGCCTCTGCCCCAATGTGATGTATTTCCGGTCACTATTCTGTTACACGATTATTTTGTCTTATTTTTACGATGCAGTTAAACCGTATAGTTTCCATTTCATGTAATTTGTACTCTGTCGTGCCAACATGAGCATACACAAAAATAATTGTTCAGCAGACTTTAACGAATAAAATATGTAACTCATTCGCACCCTGCGTCCTTTCATATAAGATTTGATCTTATTTCATGGATGAATATTTGCATACAAAGTGATCATGGACCAGGTGAGAACTCCTGAGTGGAAGCCAAAGGAGGGAAAGCAGCCAAAGAGGATATTTGCCGCAGTAGTGGAGTGAATGAGATGGGCTTCTGTGCAGGTGCTGGGTGGATTGTTTCATCATGGGACCAACTTGGGGAGGACTTTGTCCAGCAGTGGATTTATTTTGACTGATGATGACATTCTTGTTTCCCTTACCAGGTTAAGACTAATCCATCATGGACCAGGTGATGACATTCGTGGAGCCCGGCAGGCAGTTCGCCAAGGATTCCATCCGGCTTGTGAAACGCTGCACAAAGCCCGACCGCAAGGGTGTGTGTCCCATCATTCATTATCCTGAGGATGCACAGCTTCCGGCTGTTATGGTTTTTCGTATATGTGCTGAACTTCTTTCGCACCGTATGTAGGCAACCGTGCTAATTGGAGGTGTGTGTGTACCTGTATTGGGGTGATAGTTGAAACCATGCCAATTTTAGGTGACTGGTTGGCTCAGCACTGAGCTAAGCACCACTAAGATCTTTAAATCCAGGCAATTGCCTCATCATTAAGCTGAGTTTTAAAGTGTTGATGGTCTGAGCCCAGTAACCAACTCGATTTTCCAGCTCTGAGAATTGAAAAATATCGGTTTGTCATGCGACATTTATCTTTGTACATTGGAGCTTGGCAAGTGGGAAAGTGCTACCCCATCGTGCAAAATACGTTCAACATATAGCAAACACCCCATGACTGACACGGAGTTGGGAGACCAGCAGTACATTTACAAAGGGCTGTACATTGCATTTGGCCAATTTTTAAGAGTGTTTTTCATGCGAGTGCAAACTGGAGTAACCGCATAAACTATATCATGCATATGAGGATTACACAAGAGGTATCTGCAGCAAAGCTCACGAACCCGCCTGGTGTACGGCTATCGCCAGGCCAGCTCACAGCCCAGTGGGTTTGGAAATTTTACAAATATGCACAATCTCTAAAGCCTTGCCTCCAAATCGCTGGATCGCATGCGTGCGCAACTACACTCGGCTTAATTGTAGGGGCACATGTCACTGAATCTGGTAATACTTGGAAATACAAATGCTCAGCCTCAGTGCACTTGATTATAAATGTTCAGTCATAATTATTGCACTTTAATATTAAGTCCTCTTATCCGTTAATAACTAATTATTAAACATCAAAATTTGTCTGGATTTCTTTAATGGTAAATACTTTTGTTGAGTGAATAGGAGGCTTATTGGAGCAATTAATGATTACACCTTTGGGTAAGGTAAGCTTATGTTTGGATTATAAACGTTTTAAAACTTCTATAAATCTATCACTTTGTAGTATAACATATTCTGAAAAAGTGTTTATTATTTATCGAGACAAAGTATGCTCAAGGGAAAGTTGTATTTCTCTGTGTAACCTCTGCATCTGACTGCTGTGTAAATGGCTTTGTGTAATGATGCATCTGTTGTTAATGCAGAGTTTCAGAAGATTGCAATAGCAACGGCAATTGGCTTTGCCATCATGGGCTTCATCGGCTTCTTCGTGAAACTCATCCATATTCCCATCAACAACATCATTGTGTAAGTGGAGTGTAGAATTTCCAAATGTCCTTCATTTGAACTCTATTATATCACACTTAAGTGTTAATAACACTGCACAATTTACTTGAGTGTTATATGTTACACCTTGTCACATTCACTTTTTTTCCTTTCTCACTGAATTATTTTTCATGCGTTGAGTGTTGAAAGAGGCTGTTAATGTGATAGACTATCTTGGTGTAAGAATTTTTTCTCGTTATCATTGATTTTAGAAATGTTTAAATAATAAGTTTGTGAGCCACGTTGAAGAGTGCTGGCTCTGCTTTGGCACATGCTTCAAGGTGTTCACCTTATGTCACTCAAAATTATTGGATTGTGGGTGCCAACTGCATATTTGAGTTGTGTGTTTGTGTGTTTTTTCAGTGGCAGTTAAGATCAACTGGAGTTCTACTTTGAAAGAGATGCTGTCACTTCTGGAGTTAACTTTATATCATCAACAGTAAATGCAATAATGTTGCAAAATGTGTCCAATATTTTACCAGCAGTTTTTGACATTCAGTTTTGTCTTGTCTTATGAATAAAGCCCATGTGAGTGTTGATATTACTGAAATGTCTCTTTTAATGTACTGAAATACACTGACCACTGCTGGGTGAAGGTCTCTCAACATCCATGGTCTTGCAATGTTACAGACCATCTTACCCTGCGGTACATGAAGTGATTTAATCTCGATCAAGTGGTGACTATCCTCAGAGGGTGTTTCTGTCCTTTGGCTGCCATTCCATAACCAGCCTTGACCATTGACAGGCCAGTCTTCCACGAATTAGGAAACATGCAAATTAGAGTCTTGGCTGCGAAGAAAATTAAGTGGGATGGGGCTCGACATAAAATCTGCTTATAACTTAAAACGACCTCGGGGAAAACCATTACTGATGTGGCTTTGCTTCAGGGGACTAATACCATTGGAGCACTGAGCAAACATCACATCCTCGGCTTGATTCCAGGTCACACCACCTTGTCAAGTATTGACAAGTTGATGGGTGATATTATTCACCCAGTCATTAGCCACACAAACCTGCCATGTTATATTTAATCGTTTCAGCTCTGAGGATTTAAATGTTCCATTTGCCACACTGCTTTGTGCGAAGTTCCATTTCGTGTGTATAAGAGCAATCAAATCTTGAGGTTTTTGAGAGGCTGCTCCCACGGAGCGATCCATAGCTTTTTCGAGTTGTGCTTGCAATCGCAGTCTGAACGTAATTGTGAAAATAAACATTGCTTGTGTTTAGCATGGAGAGATTGGTTATGCAATTAGGGTTTTATTTAACTGCAGCAATTTTATGTAATTCCTAATTGAGTCTACCTTTCAATTAACTCTTGAATTATCACAAAACATTTGATTGCATTCATGCAATTCACCATTACTCCAGAAAACGAATATTTTCACCCAGTGCACCTAGCCTTTGAAAACAAAGAGAAACAGTTTTGAAAGGCATACGCACGAGAGTCAACATTGGAAATGTGATGCATTTGAAGGTCGAATTCCGCCTTCACTCGGTGTCCTTTTGATGTCAGAAGAGGGCAGTGCAGCTGATGATTAGTATGAGTAGAAGTGGTTGTGTAGAGGTTGTTGGGCAGTCGACCTTGGAACCCCAATCGCTTTGCGCTTGTCGGGAATTAATATTGACGAGCGCGCTTCGTAAACGTGTTTTAAACGCTAAGAGCAGGTTATCGCTAAACTAGTTATCTACTAATGCTGGACGAAGCCTGACAATACGTGTACCGTCTACAAATTAATAGTACATCACATGACAAATGAATTTTATGCACACAAATCAACTTTCAACTATTTTTGTGGACAGTCATTTTATTTGATCATTCCTGGGTGGTATGGTAGTTGGTGCCTTGTGTTAAGAACCCCACTCATTTGAGTTAGATTTGCCAGCCGTGGATTCAACATTATTGAACTGGCCTTGAGCTCTCCTTCAACCGTATTGACCGACGTGGTCAAACAACCAACGGTGTAGGGAGGGGCCCTTCGGCAGTGGGTTGACCACGGCTTATTATGTTGGAATGACGTGTGTATCAATATTTGTGTATTCTACTTAATCTGGCACGAAGGGGTTTTGTGTCTGTGCTTCATGATTAAACTATAAAACATTATTCCTGCACTAAAATATCTAAGATACTTAACTATTATAGGCATCTAAAACTCATGTGGTTGTTTTTTATGGCCAAATCCCATTCCGTTTGAATGCGTATTCATACAGATATTTCTCATTCGGTGGCGAATTCAAATGTACAAACTACACTGAGGTTTCGCAAATTTGAGAGATTACCACAATAAAAATTCGATGCTAATTATACCTGTTTGCATTACATTTGTTTCATTTTATTTTTTTATGCTTTTGCCAGAATAACTCGTAAATTAGCAGCGTAGCCTGATGTAGAATAATCCTATAACTTAGTCGAACTCGGTTGGTCCGATATCTCGTGCTCCCAGGAAGCCGTGGGGCCGATGGGTTGTGTCTAAAATAACATTTGTGGAGAGGTATAAATGAGACATTGCTTCTCTAACTTGTTACATATCAACCACAACCAACCATATTACTGCTGTATTGTTAACGCATTTTTGAGCAGCAACGCGTTGCTTCGCTAGAGGGCGATGTAAGCACGTGATGCTGTGATTTCTTTTTTTGGACCGAAATTAGGTGTTGATGCTCTGGAGAGAAATGAACGTGGCAAATTGAAAGTGCACACCGCATTTTTATTCCAGTCAATTATCGCTCAGAGTGAAGTTAATGGGTGTGATAGAAGTGCCAAGTTTAATAAAAAAAATAATTCTTCGTCAGCAGTTTGCCAATCGTAAGACGCTCTAAGAAATAGGTACAAATGGCTTGGGGCAAAATTATTAAATGGATGCCAACAATTTAAATATTGCATTAACTAGCATAATGATAGTGCATTGAACGTGGGTGGGAATGATTAAAAAGCACAAACAGTTCAAATTTTCTGAAAACCACGAAAGACATGTCGAAGAGGCGAGATAGAAAAAATAATTTGTTGAACAAAATATTGAAACGCGGAACTGTGAAATGGTGAAGGAAATAACGATTAGAGAATTATGGGAACACGAATTTAAATCACTGAAGAGGTCGTAACAATGGGCGCATGAAAGCCAAAAAAAATTTGCAATAGGCTATTTGGAAGTTCTACAGCCCTTGGGGAGTGAGGTGGAACTCACTGAACGTCAAATATGCAGGACGAGTTGCTGGAACGGAATTAGCAGACCTACTTACTCAGCATTCAAAGATGTGAAATATGCGAATCATGGAATGATCCCACTATTTCTACTCAAATTTGGTTATATGACGTAGAGCAATTCGTGTCACACTGCAAATTTGTACATTGTTTAGAAACATTGGGAACAGCATAATGAAAACAATTCGAGGCCAACCAGCCACATGAGCAAACTGCGTTTATGAAAGATTTCTCTACCATTCATCGCATATAAACTATAAATGATTCTGGACAGATGAATCAATATCAAATACCAATCTGTCTTGCCTATGCAGACTATGAAAATTCAGTTGACTCGGTGGAAATTGATGCAGTTACTTATGCTCTCGCAAACCAAGGTATCGATAAAAATATATTTAGAAATTTTAAACATTAAACAAAAATTTATCATTCCACTGATAATACAGTACATGAAGTAACCAAAATAAATGTGAGAAGGGAAGTCTGGCAAGGAGACATTTTAATTAACGTTATTCACAACAGATGTTTTCTGAAAATTGAGTTTGAGAAATAAAGGTGTCAACGTTTAAATTGACACGTGATAACCAGCGGGAACTAACTAAAGGGTATGATTGAGACATTTAATTAGGGCTGCAAAGTTGGGCTCAAGATAAACACGAGCAACACAGTCACGTACATTGAGTTCGCTATGCAATTGGGACAATAGTTGTAGGCATACTACATACAACTTGGAATCACACCAACTTGAAATCACACCAGACGTATACAAAGACCAGTTACTGCAGACGGACAGGGAACAAATGAATGAAATGAAGAGGTGGACACAAGTGGGATTCAGTGTTTTTTGGAAAACTGATTAATATTGAAGATAATCTTAGCCATGTGTGTCACAGCAGGTACATCACCTGCTGTGACAATCCAGTTGAGAAATATGAGCAGCACGCAATCGAAGTACAGAGAGGTGCACGCTTGGATTGTCACGAAACGAAAAGAGGAATACTTGGATTCGGGAATATACTCAAGTTAGAGACATCGTCCAGTGTTGATCTGAGATAAGTAATATTAAAAATAATAATAAAAAACACGCTTTAATGCAATGTACCCTACTTGTAATGGAAGAACTCCACGACTCCAGAAAGTGGCCCCGAAGCTTGCCATAACGTAAGGGACCGTGGCCAATTACAGCCAACGTCAATTGACCGTGGACAATTAGACCCAAGCCGAAACATAACATATAAAAAATATAGTTTTTTGAAGTATTTTTTTAATGATCGAATATGGTATTGCCATCAGTATGACATAAGTATACCAAGTTCGCAGTCGATACCACATTGGGAAGTGGGTTAAAATTGAGTTACAAGATTTGAGGATACAACGACAACAACAACAGACAGAGTGAGTTAATAGAAAGCGTGTAATAATAAAAAGAACACGCGCTTGGGCATGACACGGCGATGAAAAGCGATGATAGCCAATGGTAGGAGGCGAATTGCGGAGCGGAAGCCAAAGGAGTGAACATCTGAGAGGACATCCACCGTAGAGATTGAGCGATTAATCAGCTCGTGCGTGTGTGCTGCTGGGTGCACTGCACCATCGCAACACGGAGAGACCGCTTGAGGCCATTTAGTGGGTGATTTCGTGGTTGTTGACGACATTAATTGTTATACAAATTTATTTTTAGATAGCCTTAAACATGGGTTGCAATAAGCTCTATACGCTTTTACAGTGCTGAGGATTGTATTAGTAAAAGTGGTGCAGATACATTGACTCGTGCTTGGTGTTTCCCCTTAAGCATATTTCATCTTCCTGTAATTATAGCCAAACGAGCGACGCTGTCACATCAGCTCATGTATAATTGGCTGCATCTTAATTGCACCAACTGTTTTATTTATCTCGGTTTGTCACAAAGGGAAAAGCACACGCCTACATCCCCTTATAGAGTAATTGCGTGCCTGCTAAGTTGTATATATGACCTATTCTCCAGCAGGGCAAAGAAATTGGTTTTCAATATCTTGTCCCTGTAGTCTTGACCCCACTCTGGGTCATATTTAGCCCCCCCATTACAGACCCCACAATGGCCCTGCCACTTACAGAGAGGAGCTCTGAAATTGTGTTTTTATTTTGTATTGACTCGTCTCCGTTTTATTCCACTATTGCTGCCGCTGTTACCTGCTGCAGATAAGTTGCGTACGCAGTGTTTTATGCATTAAAAAAATGTCACGCGTGCTATCTAAAATTAATGCCTAATAATACGTACGCCGGGGATGTTTGCCGTGGTATATTGGCTCATACGCTGGACTTGCAGGCCACAGGTAGCAGTTAAAACTATTGTGCAAGTTTTTTCTCAAATCTCCCTCAACCTCTCTCCATGATCGTTTATCGATTAGCACGGTTGACTACGTACGGTTGCGAAAAAAGTTCAACATGCATACGCCCAGCGACAGTCAGTCAATCAACAGTGTTGCGTATGAGGGGGTCAAGCGTGACTACTCCCACCGCTTTTAACACGTCGAACCAGCGTGGAGGAGTAGACCAAATATTCGCTTGTGGAGGCCCCTTCCTCCAGCAGCAAGCAGTGGCAGCGCTGCACCTTTAACATTTACCACGCGAATTCGCTCGGCAAATTTGTCCGCACGGCAGAAAGAAGCAGCCGCGTACGCGGTGGCGATGATGCAGCCACGTGTCGTCTACCGTTCGGGATGAAGAGGGAACGATTTTGAGTGATTTAAACGTTGAACTTGCGTTGGGTTCGCAGAGCCAGGTTCTCGTACAGTTGTTGAAAGTGGCATTGCAGTAAAAAAATAATGTACGGCTCTAGTTAACGCTTTTTTTTTGTCCCATGAGTGTTTAACATTGCGCGGTATTTATCGAAATTACTCGTGACTGCACCGTAATGTTGCATTTCACCCCCTGAAAATAAACTTTATTCATATCGTGTCGAAATTGGGGGTGGGGGGGGGCGCAAGTACTCAAGGACCCCGCATCTTATCTTGAGAAATGGGTGTCGTGTTCCGAGACAACGGAGATTTCCATTCCGAATTCTGCAGTTAGTAGTGCAATCACCCTGTTTAAGAAAATGGCCCTGGAAAAATGCATTACGGCCCTACTTTTGAAGTTACTTAATTCGGCATTTATCCAAACTAGGAGCACATTTGATCTGCGCTGCAAACATCGTTCATCGCAACTAAAACTGAAATGTGTAGGTCTTGGATCCGGAATAAGGTGAAGTATATATTTTATGTCTGGGCTGAGACCAAGTTGCTACACTTGAGAACCCAGTTTAATCACCATTAGCCGAAACCCAGATGTGAACCAAGGGACTCAGTGGTGCAGGATCAGTGCTCAATCCATGAACCCATGAATCCTAATGTTTAACAGTAAACCTGTCCGCAGTGTTTGGTTTGAGCCATATGGCTAATGTTGATACACATTTCTATAAACTCACTAGATTGTGAGTATATTGGTGTGGAGCAGTGGGGAAAATGGTTATCTACACTGCGCTACAATCCCAGCAGTGTACAACATCAGTGGCATATTGCATACGATCATACTCTGGGTTTTATGTTAACTCGGCAGGACCATTATTGCCTGGTACATTGTACAACATCAGCATCGGGAAGACTAAGGTGGCTGACGTGGTGCTGGCAACACCATCACTCGTGTGCCATGCCAGCCTTATTAGGGATTCAGATACAGCAATTAACTGCGGTATAAACAGGATTTCGTTTGTGTGCAAGCTTCGTGGGGAGTAGTTGCATAGTGGTTAACGCATTTCACTACAAACCCGACAATTTGAGTTAAATTCCTGCCCATGGCTAACATTAGTGGCGAGTGTTATCTGAGCCGGTTCTGGTCCTCTCTGAGATCGACTCAGCATTAAACTAATACTTGACCACACCACCTCTTGGTGTGATGTACCGGACTTAATCAGTAATTGCTACCAGCACTTGCCTGAACAGTCTGATAAAGGCTATACAGGGGGTCATTTGTCTTATTTTCTGAAATCTTCCACTTATATCAATGACAGATCAATGGAAAATGTGTTCCCACTGGAACCATATTGGCCCTTAGGACAGTGACAATGTTTGGCTGACCTTAGA